ACATTAGCACGAGGTGTTGGTTCAGAACTCTTCGAGATGCTCACTGTCGACCTGTCTCCGAACAACACAAAGTTCTTCTACACATATCCAGATGGTGAATTGGAGCGAGAAAATTATCCATTTTTCATTCCAAAGCAACGGCTGTTCGAGATTGGCAAAGCAATTGAGGACACAAGATCATATATACCAGTTGCATTTGATGGAAGCTTTTTGAATCTGGTGGAGAAGCTACGAGGCACCCGCAGTGTTGACTATCTTGATAATTTGCTGGTAAGATCAGATCCACTGTAATCTGCAAACGTACACATGTAAGGCGTGAATTAGGATCTGATTATTCTGATTTGAAATAGACCATCATACCTACTCTCTTTGTCCCAGAATTAGCCAGTCCACAGGCTAGGAAAGCAATCATGAAGCTGGTTAGAGGCGTCTGTCTTGCATTGCAATGGGAGTTCACTGAGTCTAGGTTGGCAGAGATTGATGAATGCATTGACTTCTTCATTGACTACTGCAAAGCTCAGAGAGATGCCATGTGCTTGTCACTTTCGGTCTTCCGTCCCGTAATGCATCAGCTTACACATGTAGTGTGGATGATAAGAGAAATGGGGCCAATTGTAGCCTACTCCTCACGAAGTCAAGAACGGTTAGTCATCTATACATGCTATGTTTATCACACACATCCAGTTACTTACATAACAACATCATCCATTTTACAGAAGCATTGGAAAGTTTGGTGATTTGATAACTGGCAAGTCAAGGACAGGCAAGCAATCTTCCAACTTGATTGAAATTGTTGCAATCAGAAACCAGCTGAAAAGGATCTTCGACTCAAATGAGTTCCTCCAAGGCATTCGACCGCAGCCATATGCATCCACCACATACCTCAATCATCCAGAATCTCTAACAAGCTCACAGTTGTGGGAACCTGATCAAGAAGAGACAAATTTGGATCATCATTTTGGCTTCGATGGTACTGATCGTGCTGAACTCCATGGTGTTCCAATTGCAAGATTCAAGCGTGCTTTGTCGAAATACTATTGTAGGATATTCTCTCTTCAAAGGCTGAACAACAGTCCATTGTCAATGACGATCAAGGTTGCCCATCGTGCTCTAATCGGTTCTACTGTCATAGGATCAGAAATATACAGAGAGAAGATGCATGAGTTTCGTAGAAGCAACCATCTGGTCATGTTTAGGTCAACTCACCTCAATCGACTTAACCACCCTGTCTCCTGTTGGTTTGTTTCGCGAGTGATATTCTTTTTCCAACATGTCTATGATGGGTCGACCTACTTTTTGGCTTTCGTTGAAACCATGAAAAATCATGGTGTTGCTTCTCACGACAGGTCTGTCCCTTTTGTTCGTATGAATGAGCCTGTCGAACAACAAATTGCAAGAAGGGTGCCGAGAGTGATTGATCCCAAGTATGCTGTCATTTCTATTGACGATGTTGAGATGCAAGTGGGATTGGTGAAATCTTTGGATAACGACTTGCACTTTAGCGTCATTGCAAACTACCATGCGTTTGAACAAGATATGTCGATCGATGCTGGCGATATTCGCAACCTTTAACGAGGATTGAAATCGCAACATACAGATTTTTTTTTTTGCTTTCGCGTAAAACTACCCACTTGAGGCTACGAAATAAAAGATAATACATTTGTCAATACAATACATAGCTACATTCATTAATCATACTTGTATACCTCTTACAGCTTTGTTGTCCATGAAGGCATGCGCAAAATAATTATAAAAAAAAATAATAAAAGAAAAGGATCCGCATCACTGACCATCAAAGCATTTTGAGAAATGCATAATTAACCCAGCAAGGTTAACGTCCAACGAAGAAAAAACGAGTTTGCTCGGATTCGAACTGGCGACCTTCAGTTTGTTAGTCAGGAATATTACCACTTTGACATAACGACTCAAAGTAACCAGAAACTCGGGTCACGTGATTTTTTCTCCTGATTTGTTTCAAATTGAGCAAGTTTGGAGGCTTCTAACTTCGTAGATAATGATGCTACGAATTGGCGTTCGGTACGAAAAATAAACAAAAGAACTCAAAAAGTCTGACCATACCATTTAAAAGCGCATATCTGATAACTATCTTCACAGTGTAAAGCCAAATGTTCTGATATGGGAACATCGAGGTGCTCACGAGAACATCGATGTTCCCAAAAGAGCGCATTGATGTTCTGTGAGAACATCAGTTGGGCCGTAGTGTATTCATAATGTTTGCCTTGTTGCGCTTTCTTCTTCTTGTTCTTTTGTTGGTAGTGTTTCCTCTGTAACTTTACATGAAACAACATTAGTCATTATGTTGTATTGCAAGCTTATAATACCACTGTTGCTTTTGCAGTTGTGCGTATTTGTGCCATGTTGCTTTACATCCGACTATTACTACCATGCACGTTGCTCATGTATGCATTTTTATTGCAACAACAATGAGCTTTTTTGAACATCTTTGATGTTGTGTTTGTTATGCTTTTTTTTTGACTCACTTTGTGTGAGTCTTCCTTTTTTTTGCCTACAAATTACTATATCCCTATAGTAGTATGTTCTTTTCTTTTTTTTATTATTTTTATGTTTCTTTGAAGCATACCTCTTTATTACGTTGCGGTGGATGTGCCTATCACTGAAGCTCAACAAGACTATATCCGACACCAGGAGGTAGATAGGCTGCCTCCACTTGGTTATCGCTACTTACTTTAGTGATGATTGAGGGTCTCAATGCCTGAATTTAAAGCTAGGTGGTGTAAGTAAGGCATGCTCTAGCACCTGGGGGAAATTTGATGATAGCAGCGGCTATAATGCTATTATAGCGGCGCTTAAAATTTTGCCTCACATCAAAACAGGGGGAAACCCTCGCAAATTTTTTTTAGGTCAGCGGAGTTTTCAAGCAATCTGATTGGCTCAGAGGTTGAAGTAGCAAAGGGTTACAACTAGTTGATTTCCTATTGATCTTTCATTTATAATAGTGTTGTGTTTGTAATAAAAGGGTATCTAAATAGATACAATTTAAGTTCTTCTTTATTCAAAAGTACGACAAGATGCAATTATTCGATCTGGCATCTATCACACGGTTTTATGCGAGGGATATTCTTTAAATAAATTTGATGTATCATTTCTAAACCGGATCTCCAAACGCATACACTACGGCCCAACTGATGTTCTCACTGTGGAATTTGAGGCTTGATAGACTAAAATTCACGGAAAAAAAAGAATAAAAAAACAGTAATGTCAACTTGATAAAGGTATATTTTATTATCAAACTGACAGGTGTAAAGTAAACTGAAGTCTCTCTACTGGCCAGGTAGATGATCCTTCTTATATACTATAACAATGGATAAAAGTTCTCTTAATTAGATTGACAAATAAGTCAACTCAGATCAACTAATGTCTAATCATGCTAAAAGACAACTCCAGCAAGCTAATCATGATTTAGCTCTGTCTGGATGAATAATTAGACTCTCATCCGAAGTACCCTGATCTATCGTTTCCATAAGGATAATTAATATCGATCTAGTAGCATGTATCCGATAGGTACAGTCTTCTTAGTCTATATTAATAGTACATATCTGAGTGTATATCGCTAAGCATACATCTTTAGCATGTATCTGAATATATGGCATGTCTATAGCATATCGTATGCATGTCTATAGCATGTCTCATATATAGTACAAGTCTGTAGTACATAAAGTATCTGTAGCTAGTATCACGGATATAAGCATGTGTCTTATAGCGTGGATCATGAAGTGCACATCTGAAGCAACAAGCTCATATTGCATTAATCTTGGTGCCTATCCAGATATGGTAAACATCCGTAGTCAATGTCGGAATACAAGTATAAGTCTATAGTGCCATCCATGTCCGTGGTGCCATCTATAGCCTATATCTTATATAGTATGAATCTTATAGTACTAGCGTATCTGAAGTCCATATCTTCTCATGATCATAGTATAAATCGATATCGTACATCTAATCCAGAGTACATACAGTTTATATCTAAATCTGGTAACTGGATGAACTGTCGGAATGCAGATCATAGTGGATGTATTCCACACTCACAGAACATGGATGTGCTCTTTTGGGAACATCGATGTTCTCATGAGCACATTGATGTTCTCATTTGAGAAGGTGTAGTTTTCCACATGAATAAAATGGTTTTAATAGCTAAACTATAATATTGTAGGCAACAGAGAGACTTTTATTATATGTAAGATTCATAAAATTACTAAACGTATTATAAATTGCACGAGAAAATGGCAATTTAAAATTACCTAATAAGTACTTATTAAAGTAAAAGAATATATTTCAATAAGGTATTCGAGTAGTTTAGTGGAAAGAACGTCAGATCCACAACCGATAGGTTGTGGGTTTGACCCCGGTAGGAGCATTCGTTTTTCAAATTTCTGAAAATCGATGTGCTCATATAAGAATATGGATGTGCTCACATGGGAACATTTCGGATGTTCTCATAAGAACATCGGCCGACTTATAATAGATCTTTAGGAACGTCGATGTTCCCATATGAGAGCATTTTTTACCTTTCGGGAACATCGATGTTCTCATGAGAACATCAGTTGGGCCGTAGTGATATATATATATATATATATATATATAATGCATGTGACAAACGCTTCAGGGAAGCCAAACTTTAACAGTACTTGGGAGAGATACTTTGGGCGGACCCGGTCATAGGCCTTGGCATTATCAAGCATGATGCCAGCATAGGCAGTAAAGTTGGAGGGGTTCCGCCAGCTAGCAGACTGAGCATTATCCATAATCACCTGGAGAGACATTCCATGATCCCCAATATAACGGCCGGGCAAGAAACCGCATTGATAAGGGGTGATAATCCTGTTAGCCACTTGGACAACTCTGGAGTTCATGATGCGCGTAAAAACTTTGCAATCCGCTGCAATCAGTGTGATGGGACGGTAGTTAGCTAGATCACTCTTGTCACCTTTCTTGTGTAAGATAATGATACACGAGGCCTGCTAAGATTTGGGAAACTTTGCCAAACGAACAGCGTCATTGAATACCTGATGGATAATATCACGACAGCTTGGGTGAGAGACAAGGAGGTAAAGTATCTCATAGCCGATGCCGTCCAGTCCTGGGCTACCCTGTTTGGGGGTTCGACGGGCGCCGTCCAAGATATCATCATAGTCAATTGGCTCCTCCGTGTACAGATCCTGATAGAAGGATTCAGTAGCATTGAGTTTGGTTTCCATGTCCAGGCAAGCTTCTCCAGTGCTAGGATGTTTCAACATTGCAACTGTCCGTTGATCAACACGCTGATCAATGATGTGTTTGATATTTCCTGGGGACTTCTCGCTCTGCTCCAACCATCGGCGACCTGCTTTCAACATCTGAATCTCCACAATTTCCTGCTGTAGTTTGGATAGCTCTCCCTCCACCTCCGGCAGCAGCAGTTTCAAGCACTCAATGTCACTCCGGTAGCGTCGCAGCAAGTTATTCCTCTCGCTTTGCAGCACCTTGATTCTGGGCTTTCTCCAAGTATCATGGTGTCTAGCAAAGTTGATAGTAACCTGTTTGGTCTTCCGCTTGATCAGGTCCCACTTGTCTTGAGCTGAAAGATTGTAGTCCAATTTGGTAGCCACGAATCTCTCGATTTCATTTGCCAACTTCTGTCTATACCTAGGATTTTTGGCAAGGTGAGGGTTTGCACGCCAAATGCCTTTACCGCAGTTTGTCAATCCAATTGTGTAAGTTTTGGTCACAAGAGCATGGCCAGTCCATTCAGGACGTAGGAACGAGTTGGTGGCATCACTCATCTTTGAAGCTATATCCTATCCAGCAAACATGTAGTCCAAAGTAGACATGGTTGATCCGCGTTTGAAGGTGTATGCATGAGGTTCATTTCTCGGGTTGAGGCAATCAGAGAAATGGGTGTTCAAGAATTCCATAAACTGTTTCGGTTTACCTGCTCGGTGAGAGTGATGGTAAGTGTTGGTGTCAAAGCAATAGTTCATGTCCCCGGCGATAAGGAGAGAAGGAATGATTTCGGGCATAGTGTTAAGGTGTGTAATAATTTGGCTAAAGAGTTGATTCCTAGCCTTGTAATCATCAGCATGGGCATAGATATTAAGTATATATATATATATATTGGTGGCATATTGTTGTTGACAAGAGAGAGCTTAGCCAAGATGGCTCTTCCTTCGTCAAAAGTCTTTAGATGTTGTAGTTGTAGAGCTTGGTTGAAGTTGATTATTCCACAATTACCGGTCCATATGGCTTGGTGATATTGGAACTGGTATTGGAAATTAGTTGTAACGGTATCAAATGAGTGTGAAGGGATATTAGTTTCCTGGCATAGCAGTATGTTGCATAGTTCTACTTTGAGATATCTTATAAATTGTGCTGTTGTGTTCGGATTGTATTGTTTGTTAAGGTTCCTACAGTTGATGGAACCTATTTTAATTTTGATATTCTTATTTTGGTTTGACTCATTAAAATTATAATGATTTGATTGTGGAGGAGTTGCCTTGCTCGGCCTCATCCATATGGCTGTCCTCTTGTTGTTTGAAAGCCTTTTTGGCAGATCTCTCTTGATCAGATCCCGGTGGAGTAGATGCCAGTTCCCTAATAGAACGCTTCTGAGAGGCCTCCTGTGCTGTGTCACCTAAAGCGTTAGAACTCTTCTTTTTACCCTTCCTAAGATCGTATCTGTTCCAGTGATTGGTATATTCTACAGAGCTTTCAGATGTATCACCTCCTTCATATTCTGATTCCTCGCTGGTGAAGTGAACGGTCTCCTGTGCATCTGGAGAAGCTGGTTCCTTGTCATCAAGGTTGTCATCCTGATGAGATTCCACAGTTAAGGTTGAATCAAACAGTGGTTGGTGCAACTGAAGGTGATGCTGCAGTCTGTGGCTCGACAGATTCAACTGGATCAACTGTTGCTACTGCCTCCTGATGGAGTGGGTCAGCTGGTTCCTGAGTCTCTTGTTCAGGAATGGTGGATTCATCGTCGGTTTCCATAGCGTCTTCGGCAACATCCGTATTCTTCTTGGCAAGATATTTGTGTTGCTTGACATTCATCAATTCTAAGAGGTTGACCTCTCTTCCTGTAGGCTTTGATGGAGGGATACTCTCCTTAGTAACGGAATTGCGACGACGTTCCTGAGTAGTTTGGTCCTTCTTTCGATTCCAATGAGCGCGGGGACACTGGGCAATAAGATGCTCGAGACTACCGCATTTATGAAAGGCCTTCTTCTTTGCTCGAGGACAGTCGGCTTTGACATGTTCATCAGTATGACAACCCTTACAGATGGGTTGCATATTGGTCCAAACCAAACGGATTTTCTCCGGAAAATCTCCAAATGGGATCTGAGGTGCCACCTCAGCTTCATATTGCTTGGATCTATCCATATTAAGTGTAACAAAACCTCTACCAGTGAACCAATTACTATCCTTGGAGTGATAGAGACCGACATGGAGAATATCACCATATTGTTTAAATGTCTGGATTAACAAAGGTTTGAGAAACTCTACAGGCTTGTAAGGGATAGCCGAGACAGTAACTCTAACAACGTTGGCATTCTTGTCCAAAGCCTTGCTGACCTGAATAGTTTTACCCTGGAGGACGAAATCCTTTCCCAAGGCCTCCATACAATCCTGTTCAGTGGAAAAGTTCATTTCAATCACCTTATGGTTCTTGCCAACCATACGATGTCTAATACCAAGACCTTTGGGATATTGTGCACGAAGACAGCTGGGTAGCGTCTTCTCCTTGAACACCATGCCAATGAATTGTGAGCAGTCGATGATGAACGAGAAGTCGTCGGTCGCTTCAACAAAGGTGGAAGTGAAGTCGAGTGCCGTGCCTGGGGATGATCCGTTATCAACAATGGAGGGAGTAACTTCAAATGGAGTGCGCTTTTGGTTGTGAATATCTTTGAAGAAGGAAGCATATGTAAACATATTGTTGCCTGGATTATGGCTAGAATCCAGCGTAGAGCCACCATAAGTGGAGACTTTGCCTTTATCTACTAGGCAGTGGTCTTTAATGGAGAAAGCCATGATTTTTGATGAAAACCATGAGGTACCTTTTTTTTTAAACAAAAAAAAACTGTTTTTATTGATTGCCCCGTGTAAGTAGATCCTTAGGGCATTACCAAGAGGCGGGCGCAATTGATATGATATTCAATTATATTTAGGATAAAGCGATAGATGACAGGAACAAATGATAGATGACAATTGTGATTAGAGAATTACCATGAGGTACCCCTCATGCTTTTTGGTCAATTTTTGGCCATGTTTTTTTGGGTCTTCAAAAAGTTGAGCAAAGGTGCCAGGAAGTTACTACTACTCGAGTACAATTGTTTGGCGCCATTTCGGTGGCTCAGAAAGGCTTACATGTCAAGATATGAAGGCCTGAAAGCTGTCAAATTTGGTTATGTTTTTTGCTCCGTAGCTTTTATTTACACGGCATGAATTACATCTTTGGTAGCTGAAATCTCCTTGAAAGGCAGTTCTGCAACCTGTGCAACTTCTGATTCGAATAGGAGGCGTATTACTTTTGGTAAAGCTAAATCATGCACATTTTGATGCGTTATGTTGTCCGTAAGCTTATTAATAGTGAAAATGAGAAACCAAATTTACTGCTGGATTACTACGATGTTGCACGTTTGCTTCGTTACGGTTAAACCCTCTTAAGGTCATTGTTACCAAATGCCCCCTTAAGACCACAAATCACTCAATCCACAGTCAAATAGATGGCAAGAAATCTCTTGAATTAGATGCATTATGTTCTTGGAAGAGAAACTTTTAGTCTATGGCTGGCTACGGCGACGCTTTTGTGTTCTAGCTTTCCAGTATATATAATGGTGATGATTTATAAATCAATGAGATACAGCAGCGATTAAATACGCTACTACATTGCACAGACATTCATTCCTTGCTTCAGTAGTAGTAATCATACAAAACGCAATCTTGAAGCTTTATTCTTTGAAAGAATATAAATGTACTTCTCTATTCATTGAAATAAGCATAAGAAAAGTCTTGCTTAAATGTCAATCAAATTATTTGATCAGCAGTTTCAGATCAAACAAGCTATAGCCATTGCTCCCTGATTAACAACCAATATAAACGTGCAGACAATTCAATTCAAAACAAGAGCTAACGCTTGTTAGCACAAATTATATGTAATACTCGATGATACCAACATGTATCTTTAGTTTTTACGATTATGCATCAAGTACCAACACACATTAAACAGAAACCGTGACAGCTGCTGATTGTCAAATGCGAAAAAGAGCCATCTCTCCCCCCGCACAAACATGGCCAACATTTATAAAAAGATCAGCTTATATTGTTGCCATGTTTCTTCTTTCTTCTCAACATTGAATAATATAGAATGGCAGTAGTACCTAATACACCTAAATTTGTCTTACTAGGATGGTAAGTGTATAAAAAAAAATGAAGCTAAACTTTAATACTGATTGTTAAATGTAGGACAACCGTTGCTGTTTGTAAAGATTTGATTTTCATTGTATAGAAATTTACTATTAGACTATTAACACGTTTTCGTATCTTAGCTGCTTTGGTTGCATATACAGTTGGGAAAGAATACACATTGAATCGCTTGAAGGATTATACCAAAGATAACTCTGTTACTTCAAGTGGAGGTCATGATATACAAGAAGCACCCAAGGAAGGTGAACCTCTGCGTCGTTCTGTTAATAGAAGACTCTGATTGAAAAAGTGACAGAATGAAAGATCCCTATTTTTAGCATATATTTACTCCTGCATTTTTTTTTTTTTTTGGACATCCATGAATAGGCCCGTTGTCGTTTTTTTTTTTTTTTTGTTTGTTGATTATACGATGGTAATGATGATCCAATACATGGCGGTGCATCCATTGGAAACACATCATGTACCATGACACCATATATAAAGCAGCCATATTTCCCTTTACCTTTTCATCATCTTGTTATTAAAAACGTGAATCCACATTTTTTGTATAACCCGCCTAAAAACTAGCTTGTAAAATCTTATATTAGCCTCCTCAATCCAACATATAAGAAAAGAAGTTGAACATCACTTTTTTTTTTTTTTTTTTTTCATTCATTCCCCTTACAAAGAGTCAGAAATCTATTTAAATCAGCAAGAGACAAGAAAAAGTGAGAAACCATATTTCATTAACCTTGTTCTTCTCTTCTTCATCACTCCCCTTCTCCCTTCCTTTTTATTCATTTATTCCTTAATCCTCATCCACCACATCATGAAGGCGAAATTACTGCTTATCACAGCTTCCATTGCTACTGTAACATCTCTGCCAACCACTGTACCAACAGCCATTCATTTACCATTGCGACACACTCGACATTCATCCTTTGGAAAACGATCGTTACTCACAGGCAACAGCAACGAAATTCCTCTCATCAATGACCTTGATCTATGCGAAGTAGCAGTAAAAGTGCAAATCGGTACACCAGCCCAGGAATTCGTGCTCCTGTTTGATACAGGCAGTGCTGATACCTGGATACCATCACAGCAATGCACCACAGAAACCGGATGCCCTGATTTCCTGCATCACTATGATACCAGTGCCTCCACTAGCCATCAGAAAATCGAAAATGATACACTGAGCATCACTTATGGCATTGGTAGTGCTGAGGGCCATTATTTTCAGGACATTGTTTCCTTGGGCGATCAATACATCAACCGACAACAGACACTCGCCATGATCGACAAAGCCGTTGGGCCAATTTCACAGCAAAATCAATCAACTGATGTAGACCATGTGTTTCTAGACGGCATCTTTGGCGCAGGATTACCTGCAGGAACAGTAAGTTATTTGCACGGTGGTGACATGTATGACCCTTTGATCGTTGCACTCTACAAATCCAAAACGATTCCAAACCCTGTCTTTTCAGTATCCATTGCACAAGATGATACAGAAGGCAGCGTCATCTTGGGCGACACTCATCCAGGCTACAGCTATATTTACACAGCTGCTGTAGGATCTCGGTGGTCAGCTTATATCACTGATTTCGAATTCCAAACGGCCAACGAAACCAAGAACTTTCAGTTTAATCAAAAGACCCCATTTGGTATCGATACAGGATCTAATTTTATGTACCTTCCTGGATCACTCGCCCAAGATTTAGCCAAAAGTATCACTCAAAACAGCACACTGAGCCAAGAAAAATCAGGCATTTATGTAGTGGATTGTCAATTTCAAGATAGCCAAGATCTCGTCAAGATTTACTTTCCCTCCAGCGATTATGAAGGCAAACGCATCTTTATCTCGATACCTGTCAAGGAGCTGATATCTAAAAGAGAAAGCGATGGCAAATGCTTATTGTTATTTTTGCCCTCAGATGACAAGTTTATTCTTGGTAATATGCTACTTCGACATTTCATCACAGTATACGACTTTGGTGGCTCTGCTCCCCGGATTGGCTTTTCTCCTGTGAATAACAATATCAGCACTAACAAATTCTTGAATGAAATACTATAACCCCACATAGGAGACATTTTCTGCTACAGCTGTTCCAATAAAGTTTATTAGACACATTATCGTAAATCAAGGATGATTGAATGAGCTTTGAAACGTATTTGTATTTGCAGTGGAGGAAGTAGTTGCTTGGGCTGAGGACGAGGTAGGTATATCCGACTCTTCTGGAACAATTGATGGTATTTGTTTCTTGGCATTGAGTCGTATAGCTTCAAGTAGAGAGTCTATGAGTACATTATTATGCGTAGAGGGTTCATTGATGGTCATCCGTTGCGCTTGTTGTGCCAAATTACTATTCAGCATGGACGTGGATTGAGACAACAGAGCATTGATGCTCTCTATCTCTGCTTGGAGTTGATCTCTTCGTGTAGAAAGAGCTCTGCAAAACTTTGCGGGTTCAAGCAACAACATGCTTGCCAGTGCGGCTGTGGTAGATACAGCAGTACTATCAGAAGATGCCGTTGTGGTGGAGGGCGAAGAAATCGCGGCTGGCATCAAATCAGTCAAGCTACTTGAGCTATTCCGATGCTTCTTGCCATTAAAATGCAATTGTTGTTGTTGTTGTTGTTGTTGTTGCAGCTGCTGCTGCTTTTGTGCTTCTTCCTGAATCAGCAAAGTCATAAAAGACCGAAGATTGGGTAAGGATTCTGTTGTAGTAGGAGGCGATGTTGAGTCATGAATGGGAGACAACTGGAACGATAAACGACGCCTTTCTGTGGTCGATGATGAAGCTGGAATATCAAGCGGCTGTGTCGTTGCTTCCAAAGAGTTTACAGAGGACATGCTATGGCTACTATTCCGTCTATTGTATGGATCAAACAGTTGATCTTGATTGTGAAAAGTCAAAGGAGATCTGGGATGGGGTGCCTGATGTGGAGGTGAATGGTCTTGCTGAGAGTACTTTCTCGCCATGTGAACTCTTTTTCGTCTATGAATGATTGTTCTTTTCATGGACAGAGGACGATGTACATTATGTAATTTGTAATAGAGACCACAGGCATTGCATATATTGTTGCCATCATCATCACGTCTCCATAATGGCGTGGTTGTGGTATCACAATTGAAGCATCTGGTGTTTCTATAGATCTTACAATCTCTGCAATCTTCGCTGGGATGATGATGGTGGTGATGCTTTTGTTGTTGCTCTAGCTGTGGATACCAACTTTGATTGGTAGATGTTGATGGCTCTTCTTGTTGTGAGCTAATCCATGACGAAGAAGATGAGGAAGATGATGCATTAAACATTTTTCAGGCTGATGTTTTCTCACCAAACGAAAGAAAGAGGGAAAGGTACGACTCATAAACAAATGGTAATAAATCAACAGCTTTTGCGTACCTTTTTTAATTTTTCTTGTAATTCCCTAATACAGAGTTGGAGATAAGATACGAGATTTTCAACAACCTTAATATATTCACATTCATTGTGACAGATAACAAATTTGATATCCCAGCTCTCAGAATCGCACAAGGGATATTGAGCTGATGAAATATATGTTTGTTTGATCTGTGATAAACAGGAGTATATCAAATGCTCCGATCTAGTATAATGGATACAGTTCTTGTAGCTGTTTGCAGCATCCACACTTATTATACACACACACACACACACACACACACACACACACACACATACACACATGCACACATATACACACCACAAACCGCATTTAGGCAATATCAAGTGCAACCTTGTATTATACACACACATACATCCCAAAGATAATCAACCGTGGGATTTTATTCAGCGTATACAAAGGCGCTTGAAAATATACCTTTGAGGACGGTTAAATGCTTCAAGATCCATCGCCATCAAAACGATGGATAAGGGCTCTTTGTTTTACCTTTCTTTCTTCTTCATGTTGTTCAACAAGAAATTCGTATCTATAACAGCAAGCTTCTTTCTTGCTGCCAGTGCTTCAGTAGACGCATATCAATTCTCGCCTCAGGTTGCATTGCAAAATGCCCGCTATGAAAGCCAAGGATTTCGCATTTTGAGCAGTGAGCATGTCGATAACTACTCGATTAGAATCAAGCAACCCAAATCATGCGAAAGTGGTGTCCAGGTAGCATGTGTATAAAACGGCATGATATGTTCCTAATGCTGACCCTGATAATTAGTACTCTGGCTACATTGACAAACATGATTCCAACGATCATTTCTTCTTCTACTTTTTCGAATCACGAACAGACCCTGAAAATGACCCTACTGTCTTGTGGTTGAACGGTGGACCTGGCTGCTCTTCCATGATGGGATTATGGATGGAATTGGGGTGAGTTGCATTTGTGTCTCATCTACTAGTGCACATCCATCTTACTATCTTTCGCTATGCAATAGTCCCTGTCAAGTCAACGAACACGGCAACGGTACCATCAGAAACCCGTACAGTTGGAATACTGCCGCCAATATTGTATTTTTGGACCAGGTATGTGTAGATACGCTTATCTGATGCGATACCAGTATCAAACACCTAACACACCTATTTTAGCCTGTGAACGTAAGCTACAGTTATGGTGATACCAAAGTACGAAACACAGAGGAGTCCGCTCGGGATGTTTATGCATTCTTGCAACTCTTCTTTGCCGAATACACTCAATATGCCAGCAATCCGTTCCATATCTCTGGTGAATCCTACGGCGGACACTACTTGCCTGCTATCTCTACCGAGATCATTCGCAACAACAAGGTAGCCAAAGAAAAGAATTTGATTGAAATCAACTACGAGTCCATGTTGATTGGCAATGGCTGGACTGATCCTCGTACACAATTTAAAGAGTATGCTTCTTATGGCTGTGCCAATGACAGTGCTCTTTACAAGCCCCTGTTTGATGAAAAGACCTGTGACAAGATGGTGAATTCCTATGCTCGTTGTCGCCAGTTGCAAGATGCTTGTTACAAAATGCCTAGCTCGATTACCTGTGTACCCGCTGGTCTTTACTGTGAGAAAACACAAACAGGTGCTTTCGACAAGACGGGTTTGAATCTCTATGATATTCGTAAAAAATGCGAGGGCGACTCTGGATTATGCTATGATTTGATCGAATCCATTCAAGTATATGCCAATAGAGAGGAGGTCAGAGAATCGCTTGGCGTGGATGAAAAGGCTGGAAAATACACAGGCTGCAGTGATTCAGTGGGTTACAGATTTTATCAAACGGGCGATGGGTAAACTATTAGATATGTCGCACACTGTATATGCAGAAATATACAGAAATGTCAATTTATGACTAATTTGTTAATTTTCATTACTAGCTCAAAAGATTACAGTGGACATGTTGCAGAGACATTGGAAGCCGGTGTTCGTGTGTTGCTCTACGTCGGTGATATGGATTGGATCTGTAACTGGATGGGCAACTTGGCTTGGAGTTTGGAGATGGAATGGGCTGGAAAACAGGGCTACAACGACGCTCCCAAGGAAAAATGGTTCAGTGATCTTACTGGAAACCATGCTGGTGATGTTCGCACATTTGATAAATTGACCTTTTTGCGAATCTTTGATGCTGGGCACATGGTTCCTTATGATCAGCCAGAGAACGCCCTGGATTTCTTTAACAAATGGCTCACTAACAGCTCATTAATAAACTAAAATGCGTCGGCGCATTTCAGTGACAGTGCGCTTTGTTGCCCTGTAAACAATAAGATACAATGTAGACCAATGATATCATTGAAAGCCTAAAAATACTGTGCTATTTAAAAGGCTTTGTTCTATTTTCATTTCGTCCTTTTTCCTTCTCTTTCGTTTTTTTTTTTTTTTTTTTTTTCCTTCTTCTCCATTATACACAAGATTCAGTATGGCTGTCGATGATATTGTGAGCACCTATGATAGTAGAAGAAGCTCAACTGGGTCCATTCATAAGAGTTCGGGTACTTTTTACAACGGACATAAAGTCATCAATGATCCTATACATGTAATATCTGTTTTTGTAGCCGAAAGCTGCTCAATACTCATCTTGATATAACAGGGCCATATTACCTTGGACGATTACACTGTTCGTTTCATTGATACACCCCAATTTCAGCGTCTGAGAGACCTCAAACAGGTAAGATCCACCGCCATCTCGACTGTTGCTTGTATACTAACTACTACATGTAGCTCGGTGTACTTTATTTCATCTTTCCAGGCGCTAGTCATAATCGATTCGAACATTCTGTTGGTAATGTATACATGAGAGATAATTAGCTGTATCTGGCGTCTGATAAAACTTGCTCTAGGTGTATCTCATTTATCTGGCACACTGGTCGAGAGATTTGCAAGAGATCAACCTGAATTGAACATCTCAGAGGATGAAATCAAATGTGTCAAATTAGCTGGGTAAAACACCGAGAAAAGACTGTCGATACTTGAATGAGCTAACATGGTTGCACAACAGATTATGTCATGATCTTGGACATGGTCCTTTTAGTCATGTATTTGACAACTCATTCATGCCATGTGCTAGACCTGGACTGGCATGGTCTCATGAACAAGCTTCAGAAATGATGCTTGAATACTTGGTCGATGACAACCATATTGACATTGAAAAGACAGAAATCAACTTTATCAAGGATTTGATTGCGGGCGAATCGAGATCCAGCAACAAGTACTCGGAACGCAAGTTTTTGTTCGACATTGTGGCCAACAAGAAGAACAGTGTGGATGTAGACAAGTTTGATTACATCGAGAGAGATGCTTACAATATGGGCCTGCGTAGTTCGTATGACGCCAAACGTCCCTTGGTCTACAGTCGTGTGGTCAACAATGAAATCTGCTATCATCACAAGGAAGTGTATAATATGTATGAAATGTTTCATACAAGATACAGTTTGTTCAAGCAAATCTACAACCATCGTGTGGGAAAATGCATTGAACTGATGATTGTGGATGCTCTGTTGTTGGCAGACAACTACCTCAAGATCTCGGACACCGTGGATAAGCCAGAAGACTATTTATACTTGACAGACGATATCCTTCGCACCATTGAGAAATCGAAATGCCCTGAATTACAAGACGCCAGAAAGATTTTGCATAACCTTCGCACTAGAAAACTGTACAAATTTGTCGACGAATTCTTGATCCCACCCGAGATGGAAGCTTATTTGAACAAGGAGACAGTGACAGCACAGGATATCGTGAATCACCAAACGGATAACGCTGGCTTAGTCGAGCAAGATGTAATTGTCAACTTTTCAAAAATTAATTATGCAATGAATGAACGAAATCCTGTGGACTCCATTCGATTCTTTTCTAAATTTAATGATCAAGGTGAGTGTTCGCATCATGATCTAGGTGCTTAGGCTTGCTAATGATATATTATTTGCAGAGTCATTCAAGATCCCTCAAGAAAAAGTATCCTACATGATCCCTACCAAGTTTCAAGACATCAATATTCGCATTTTTACTAGAGACCCTACTAAAATTGGAGCTATCCAAACTGCATTCCGCAGATATTTAGATAAAATTAACTAATCTAAGCATACATTTAGTGTACTCTGACTGGTACATACTCTGTAAATAGCGTTTCCTTAATAAATTTAATTGCACAAGCATAACAAGGCGTCAAATAGCTGCTGGTGGTATTTTATACATGCATGAAATGGTAATTTGCAATGTCACCATCTTCATGCCTGTTTCTTAATAGCATCAACCGTAACATTTACTTTTCGAATAATATGGGTTATACAAAATGGTATGTCGCTTTAATCAAGATAGTAATAAATAATGATATAAGATAGTTTGAATAAATAGTAATAAGTATATAATATAAGTGTGATGTAAAGGGGGGAGGGATAGTGCTGATAATACGTATGTGGAAATGACTGACTTGAGGCGAGTACTTTGGAAGGTGGTGAATAAATGAGGATTATTTTATACATGTATACAAGTGTGTGAGAGCGATAATTTAGAGTCGAATCACATCATTTTCGTCAAAGTGTTCCACAGCTGATTTCATGTAGGCTTCGGCATCGGAACGACTAAAATTCTTTTGTTTGCTGGTAGTCGATGCATTCTGTGACAAGAGCATTTGAATCCAACCTTTGGCGAATTTGAATACTTTCGTTGATCCTTTGAGCTTTGAAAACCGGGTGGCTACAATTTGTAGTGGGCTACCATCATCATTGTATTTGGAAGAAGGTACAGAGAATAAATCAATGGATAGCATGGCAAATCCGTCTGGGTCTTCCGTGGTGTCTGTGGGCGTGGTGGCCTCTTCTTGCGAATTGTATTGTTGTTGCTGTTGTTGTTGAGTCAATCGACCCATGGATATCAGGTCATGGCTACTGTTCATGGCCATGGCAGAAGAGCCGGTGAGTAGGATAGACTGGCTTGCACTGAATGGGGCTGATATTCTGTGTACCTGTCGGCTCCACCACCCGTTGTTCAGGGAACTATGGTTAGAACTGTTGCTTATGAATGAAGTGGATTGTTTTCGATGTAGATCCGAGAGTCGATCACTGGAACTGAATAGCTTTGAACGGAATAATGAATGCTGCGTGGATGGTTGTTGCTGTGGTTGTGGTGGCAATTGAGCTTGCTGTGGAGTGATGTTGGGTTTTTTACAGTTTCTCAATGTCAGCAGACAAACCAATTGTGAACTGCTCGTCTGATAAAACGTAATGCCCAAGATTTCACACACCATACGTATAATTTTGATCATTTCCGACTGGTTGATCTTGGCTTGCTCGAGGTCGCTATCTTGTTGATGTTGTTGATTTTGAACCGTCAGGTCAGGCAATGTATTTGAAAAGAACACCATGGAAAGACGATGAGAAAGTCGCTTTGTTTGTCGCACACGTTTGTTCTCTGTAAAAGTAGATGAGGTCGAATAGTCCGATATAACAGTAGTCGATGACCCTGATCGAATGTCGCATTGAATGGAGAAATAGCTGATATGATCCTTGGTAACCCTGTTGTAGAGCTGCGATATGTTTAATGCCGATGCTGCTTTTCGGAGCTGTCTTGGCTGTGGATTTGATGCTGGCATCGTTTGCTCCTGGTTCAAAACATTGCTACTGGACTCGGTCCGTTTGAATTTTCGGAAGAGATGGCTGATGGGTGATTTTAGATCTGTAAGACTGACATTGTGTATCTGTTGTAATCGTACTTGCTTTAAAGTCACTAGCAAGTTTTGGTTCAGGTCCATCACGACTTGATTTTGAGTGTCTAATTGCACTGGGTGTTGAGAAGAATGAGGGATTGGACTTGTAAAGTAAGTTGCTGGATTGGTTAGGTGGTAGATGACAGTTTTGGGCACTTTTCTGCCTCTTCTTCTTTCATCCTGTAGATCTTGTTTACACTGCCGCTTACTGTTTTGAGCACTAAATTGGATCTGGTTGCTGTCTTCTGACTTGGCTGACTCGGCATAGGATTCTGTGGCATCATGCGCATTATAAGAGGAATTGAATTGGCGTTGCTTGAAGACATCGTCCAAGGCGCCGTAATTGTTGAACCAGGGATCTTGGCTTAGGAACGTCTTTAGGCTGAGCCGATCGTACCTGTCGATAGAGAGGCATTTTTGTATGGTGGTCTGTAGTTCAGGGCTCAAATGAGATGGGAACTTGTAGTGGCGATTGAGGATGAACTTTTTCAATTCGGATGGTGCTGTTGTGATAGTGTTAACTCGAAACGTATAGGAGATCATCCGCGTTATATCTTACTCTTAGCATGTGAAAAAAGTTCAAGGCCGGCTGTCATTCTAAACAGCATGATACCCAAGCACCAAGAGTCCACTTCAGGTCCAACATATGATCTGGCTGATATAATTTCAGGGCTATAATACAACATGGATCCTATGTGAAGATTTTAGATAGTTGGCATATGACTTGGATCTTTGCTTTCATTTACCACAGACTGTCTTTAACCTTGTCAAGCCAAATCGATTTCCCAAACCAAAATCAGCAATCTTGACTCGATGGTCTGCAGTGAGTAATATGTTTGGCGTCTTGATATTCAGATGTAGAATAAAATTAGCCACATTGTGATGACACGTTGCTTGCAGTGCATTTAATATATATATATATATATATATATATATATGTTTACCTTTAAATCTCGGTGAACGATCCATTTGGAATGGCAGTGGTCTACAGCCATCACCACCTGACGAAAGATATCACGCGCCTGGTTTTCAGGAATAATGCTCTTATCGACTCTTTTCAGGTATTCCTCGAGGTTGTAGCCTGCAACGTACTCCATCACCAAATACAGGGCATCTGCAGTTTCGTACGTTTCATACAGCTGCACAATGTTCTCATGATCCAGTACTTCCATCAACGCAATTTCACGCACAAGCCTCGACATGACTCTGTAAATGTGTGCTCTTTTATTGATCACCTAAAATGAAAATGAAAAAATTTATGCAGATTACCATAATTAGAAAACACAATTGAAAACAGATGTATAAATATATCATGTTCCTTACCTTGATGGCTACTTTGGCTCCCGTAGCGTAATGGTGTGCTAGCATGACCTTACTGAACTTGCCATCTCCAAGAGGGGATTCAAATATGTAGTCGCCAATGCCATTCAAAATGCTATCTGAATTGAACGGAACCTCTTTTCCATGTTTTTTACTTTTAGTATTTGAAGGGGCACTTGTAGAAGGAGCAGAAGCAGCAGCAGCAGCAGGTGTTGAAGGAGGAGGTTGCGATGGATGGTGGGAAGATGGTGGTAATGGTGGCGTTGCTTTGCTCTGTATGGATTCCTCATCCTTCATCTCAATGGTAGTTGAGCGATGTCTCCATTTAGTCGACCGAAATGGGTTGCTGACCATATTTGTATTGATGATATGAATTGTATGTTGTCAATGTTTTTATATACAAATCCTCTCTCTCTCTCTCTATGTATGAATAGATTGATAGCGAGTGTGGTATAATTGAGGCTTATTCAATTTACAAAAAGGAATATTTAAGGAGAAGGTAAAAGAGAGAGAGAAAAAGAGAAAGAAAAAGAATGAATAAAAATAAAAGAGTAAGAAACCTGTTGTGTGAAACCATCATCATCATTGAATAGCACACTGAAAAGAAAGCAGACATCATGTACACAGTGCTTGTAACAGCAGCTTGATGAGTCTGCGGTTATTCAATTACACCATCCTGGGGTATACGGCACCCGATTTGCAACATTTGTTACCACCATGGTGGGAAGAAATCTTTCGCTGGTAAATCTACATTACCATTGAATCAGTGTCCTGTTTCAGACGTTTGCCTGTGAGATTTTGCCTGAACACATTCAATTGAAAGGTATCGAACAAGGATGATCGGGAAATGTAAATGTTGCCATTGCATGTGGTCTTTTCAAGCAGCGTTATCAAGTAAAACAACTAATGTTCCTGGTCAATCCAAATAACACTTGGGGTGATTAGTATCAAGTAATGTGATTAATCAAGCATCAATTAATGAATCAAAATGCGGGTCAATTTTGGTTATAAAGTGCCTGACGATCATCGCTTGAAAGCATGGTTACGGCGTTTGAAAAAAAACAGATCAAAGTCATTTTCAGGTACCAGATCCATTAAATCAATTTTTATTTCACAATCCTACATGATAATATGAACGTTTTTCAAATCATATAAATCAGCCTGAGCTTGATTAAGTCTAATTAAATGCTTTATCTGATTGAGACTTGATTGACATCATCCTTCAGACGAATTTTTAAAGTGTGATTGAAAATGCATTTGGAATGACATGCTATGATTTACTGCATTTGATCATTGTGATGATCATTTGATCAAATTGCGATTGTATCAACAAACATTAGTTTTGTTTGGGAAGCTGTGCTCAGTAATCAAACTTTCCGGCATTATAGTCTATACGAATCCAAAAGATGCTATATTCGAATTTTTTTATAAATTTTAAATGTATTCAGAGATTAGGCATTGAGGGATACTAGCCCGAATTTTTGGGAGTGTGTGTATCAAAGCGAAAGTTGAAACGCGTAAATCGATTCTTCAAAGTACTATGGTTGAAACTAATAAAACAAGACACATGGTGGCTCGTTACAGACCGAAAGAAAGTCATGTCATTTTTTATTGAGAGCGTTCATCATACAAAATGCCTCTATCGACTGGATCCAGCGCAGAATAGCCCATTGCTTTCTTTTCCCATTGAGAAATGAAGAAAATGGCACCGAACATGGCAAGGTTGCCTTGATATGGTAATTCCACGAAAAGCGTGCGTTGCATGCGAAATGCTTATTTAAATACAAGTGTAACTGAGTTTATTTAGAAACCAAATAGACCATTCTTGGACAACGCAGACTCTAAATGCACAGGTACATTCCTTTCTGCCTCCTCCTCTCTTTTTTTGTCCATCTTCTTGGCAGTTAATGCGCCAATTTTTTTGTAGTACTCTATTAAACGCTTATGGCCGCCTGCTTTGGCTAAATCGTAGGGTGTGCCTGATTTGCGGGGAACATAACTGTTGAAATCGCACCCACATCTTTCAATGAGCAAAGAGGCGACTTCAAGATGACCATGACGAGACGCCCAGTGCAAAGGCACTTCACCGCGTATGTCGACTTGATCCACCGGCAATTGACATGCTTGAATCAAAAAGGAAACAAGATCAGTGTGACCTGACGCTGAAGCATAATGAAGAGCACTTGCACCTAAATGTAGAGTGTTCAATGTCTTGATCTTTGATGCCTTTTTATCTCTTTCTCTCTCTCTCTCTCTCTCTACTTACCCATACTATCCACTTGTGAATGATACTTTGGTGGTGTCAGTGATACAATATACTCAACAACGGGTGTATGACAATGTTCAGCTGCCACTTGCAAGGCAGTTTTGTTTTTCAAACCAGCACCTCTTGCGTTGCAGAGATCAGCGCCTGCTTCTACCAAAGCCTGAAGTCCTGGGAGCCAGCCCAAACTTGCGGCCAGATAGGCGGGTGTTACTTTATCATCTTCAACTTGACTTAGTGTCATGGCATTGGGGTTTGCACCGTGTTGCAAAAGTAAATCAAGTGAGGTCGACGCCTTCATTACAATCAATGTGTGGATCATACCATAGCCATACTTCACTGCCTTATGACTAGACGATTGCTTTGCTGTGTTGGGAGAGCCACCACGTCGCAAGAAGTTACTACATAAAGCAGTGAATACACTAGGTTCTCTCCTCCGTCATTTTTGCCGGGGCTTGAGTGTATCACACTTACCTAATCATCTTTTCAATTGTGGAATCAGGGGTTTTGCTTTTAGCAATGGTTTCCCACAGAGCATCAGAACCTCCGAAAGCGATAGGGTCAACCTTGCGTTGTTGGACAACTGAATTATTCACATAACCTGCTTGGCTGGCATTTGTCGTAGATCGAGTAATACCAGGCTGTGGGCCAATACCACCACCTGTAGCAGTAGCAGATGAAGGTGTTGTGGGCGCATTGAGTATGTTAGCATTTGCAGGTGCCTGACTTGCATTGGATGATGAGATGCTAGGTTGTTGCATGTGTTGCCATGAGCCTTTTCTGCTTGACATGTATTTACTGCTATTGGAATCGCCATCTGTGCTGGCAGAATGTATACTAGCAGGAGCAGCGTTTGAATTTTGGCGAAGTCTAGGTACAGGAGGAGCAGGCGATAATTCTGATGTGTAAGCAGTCCAATACGGTGTACCTGAATTGTTGGATGAAGTAGTGGATGATGAGGAAGATCGAGAGAGGTGTCTACTATTTTTGTTTTCCATTGGCAATGGAGAATTAGGAAGAGGAGGAGGAGGCATGGTATGATACATTGCTCCTTCAGAACCCGAGACAGATGAAGGAGGTGGACTCATATTGTTAGTATAAGCTGGATTATTGCTGTTGTGCAGTGAAGATGAGCTGGAATCCATGGACGGGCTGCGAGGTCGTGTGCCGTTGATGGAGGCATATTGCTTATTTAATTCTGCTGCTTTGTCGTACTTTTTCTTGAAGAACTGCATCTCTCTGACAGCCTTTTCATATCGGCGTTGGTAGCTATCTTCTGTTAGCTGTAAATTTTCGTATTCTTGCTCCAGAATTTCGGATCTCTGTTGGAGTACAGAAATGAGGCGATCATAGTCAGATACCAATCTTTTGATCTCAATGCAAATGGCTTGTTTCAGTTCCTCATTTGATACACGATGTGTTAGGCTCATCAAGCTGTCTTTGGGATTACTGCGTTGTTGCTGCTGATGATAGTGTGGTTGATACACCTCGTTATTTTCAGATATATCATGAAGCTGCATTCGCTGCATTTGGCGGCTGGCATTGTTGAATTGATCGTCCAGAGAGTAATTGTTGCTATTCATCGTAGTCGTCGTAGTAGGTGGTGCCATCATACACGAATATGAAAAAAAGATCAGAAACAAAAAGGAAGGAAAAGAAAGGAAAAAGAAAATTTCAGAATAAATACAACAAGTTGCAAGGTTACAAGGAACACAAATGTCTGTAGTCTTTTTTTTTTTTTTTTTTTTTTTTCCCAACGGATTTTGTGGATTTATAGCTGTTGTTGCTGAGATTTCCTTCAGGGCGGTTAATGAATCAAAAAGCAAACATTGATTCTTCTATTGTATCCCTTTCGTGTGCTGCCCCCAAAAAAAAAAGCTTAAATCCTGTCGCAAGAGAACTCTCAGTATCAGATCGAAGTAGTCGATTGGAGCAATACAATGAATGAGCTAGTTCAAGTCATGACAAGTCTCTGGAAATGTCATGCTGTAGATTGACATAAACATGTATATGGACAAACGATACAAAGGGACGAGAAGGGAGCAAGAGAGATGCACTAAACTATCGCCCTCCTTTTTTTTTTTTTTTTTTTTTTTTTTTTTTGTAGTGATACTGTGCCCCGGAATGGATCAATGCACTGTAGATGTAATGTGATTTACCCTTGATCCCATTATACAAAAACATAATCTCCTCATTTATTGTTCTTTCAAAATTGCATCACAAACGATATCCCATTTCAATGGATTTCTTGCGTTCCATTTGATCGATTAAAAATACTACAGATGTTGAACTTCTCGAGTTAAGTTACTACATTAAGCATTTCCCTTATTCAAACGACCTCCAATCATATGTACCTGTCATACAATAACATTTAGGAACAGTACTCCGTCTGAATTCTCGTTTATAACAGCATATACTACTGTAACTCGAAAGCAAAGGCCAAGATTATTTGTTTTACAAGTACCCCACAGATTTGTTATGGGTAGAGTGTGTGTCATTTTTACTTCTGTTGACATGAACGTTTAGGAGAGCACTGAATAAAAGTTGATTAATATCAATAGGAGCAATTAGATTTATACTTTGTTCTAATTGCACAACAGAAAAGAGAGAGAGAAAATCAGGAGCTTATTGCTCTGCTATTTGCCAGTGCTATACGTCTTTGTGTGTGTGTGTGTGTGTATTCTCACCAAGTTTTTCTCAAGGTGGCGTAGTGTGCAGGTACAAAACTTTCTTACATATGAAAATGATGTACACAAACATGTCTTTAAAAAGTGATCATGTGCACCCACGATGGTTACTTTTGAACAGACCACCATACCCCCCAATGTGAGACATCTACTCTATTTTGATCACAGAAGTATTGATTTGAATTGATTTATTGAGTGATGTTTTTTATCAAACATTCTTATTATATAACTCTTTTTTTTTGCAATGCTAGTGAGCTCATCGTCACAAGTCTCATATATTTAAATCATGTCAGACCTCTTATTCTCCATTTCATGGTTTGCACGCACAAAAGAAGCTATGGATCCTACTATTATACTCAAATCAATGCTTTGTGTATTACTCGGACCCTGTTGATAGCAAAAATGGAGATATTGATTTGAAGCTTTGGGGCTAGACAGCATTTAGTAGAAATATGTGTAATGTGCTAGTTTTGTGATCTAGTTCCTTACTTTTTATCGGACGCTTCATACTGTCAAAGATATAAATTTACACTGCTATAGTAGTAAGCGTCTTTCGTGATTGTCAAGGAGATTATGAAACAAATACGGTTACATATTTAGGCTGCATAGATGTATGAGATAACATTGAGCCGTAAATTAGCATAAATGACTAGTTTATGATTCACTAATTTCAGTAACTGAATTATTCAGGTGTACACAAAACCTAAAATTCTACACCTTCTGTTAGCTGCCCTGTTACACTGCAAACTCCCGCTCGAGAACTTATCGCAACCCTAGTTCTCGTTCTGTAGCATTACTGCCTCTAATTTGAGCAAGTTGGCAATTTTGCATTTCGTACTAGGATTTGCATTTAAATGAGCAGTTTGAAATGATCGATTCTATCAGATACAAAAAAAAATTACAACAGAAGCAATTTAAACAAGTGGGGCTAAATTACAGCTATTTTTAACTCGCAACTTTCTTCTTATTTGCTTCTAAACGACTGATTTCCCTCATGAGGATAGCATTACTAGCCATTTGGCGGCCAAATCCAGTTAAATTTCCGATTATTTTTTTGCTCCATATTCTGTCCTGATTTGTTGTTTTTGAACTTTTTGGATTCCATTCGACCTTTTTTGGCGGGGATAACATACCTGGGGCAAAACTCCGGCCCTAATAAGATAAATGATTGGTTTATATTGGCCAATAAAATCATAAATTAGGGCCGGCTGTAGAAATATATATGAAATTTAAAAGCCCTACTATACTTTCAAACCTAATCTGATTTACCCCCTTTCTCCTTTTTATATTCATTTATTTATGCGTTTTGTGAACAGTAATGGGGAAAGTTACCAAACATAGCAACAATAAAGACAAAGGAAAAGCACGCAGCTTTTCTACCCTTCGATTCTCTGCTACCAAAGGCTTTATTTCGAATCAAGCTACAATCACACAAGCCTTCAAGCGAGTAGCTAAATTCAATGCAGCAGCAACAAGTATTGATCCTTCAAGCAGCTCAAATCAGGGCGAGTCATCAACATCTGAAAGCCAAGAAGAGCTCTCTGTCCCTGAAGAGGCTGGATTAGAAGAGGGTGAAGAGAACTGCGAGGCTGAAGACAATGATACTGTCCAAGATCTCCCTCTCAACACTCAGCACAGAGACTTTTTCGAGTCTCTTTGTGCCCGCTTGCATGAGGACGGACGTCCTGTTGAATACGACAGGAATACTTTTTGGGTGGAGCCAGTTAATCCCTATTTTGCACTGCTGAAGAAGTTACCGGCGAAAGAGGAACCCAATAAAAGCCTATATCAACCTCGAGTATTTCTGTGGCTACCTCATCACTTGCTTCCACACAGGTCCAAGTCTTTAGAATGCCCCAAGTGTAAATCTCCATTGAAAAGCAAAGGTTTCAACAAGGATCCGCATGCTAGAAGAATCGTTGATCTTGCAAGGTAAGTAAGAGTAGAGTAGTTAAAGGCTGAAACGTTGGCTTGATTGCTAATATGAAATTTAGTTGTTTCTATCTGTTGTCATGCAGATACGAATGTACAGTGACTGGATGCAAAAAGCCTGGATTTGAAGACTCATGGCAATCTCACGACCCCATCATTATGCGACAATTGCCACAGGAGCTTCAGATGGAATTCCCTGCCGTTTTGACTAGCAAAGGAGGTGTTTCCAAAACTGTCGCAAATCTCCTTCGTCCGTGCATGCAAAACTCAATGGGTCCTCAGAGATTCCAAAAGTTACTCCGAGAATTGCATGTTCTTCGTCATGATCAGCTGGAACTCCAGTACTTACTGTCATGTTTGGCTAAAAAGAAAGGACTCCTCCGAAACTATTCGTTCCTCCCTTACTCGAATTTTGAAGACCCTCACCAGTATGCTGGTTATGTACCAAGTGCCACTTATTTCAGGACTTTGTACACAGCAATGATCGAGGAACTCAAGCCAAAGATGGACAAACATGCCATGCTTCTTGACGGCAAGGTGCTTAAGTGCGATCACTCTTTCAAATTCCCGAAACATATCGCTAAAATTGAGGATGCTGGTGTATTCACTGCCTTGTTCACCGTGACGAATGAGTATGAGGAGATCGTACATCAGGTTCTGGTCCCCTCAAAGTCCCTTATCTATCTGAAGCATTCATTGCAAAAAATGAAAGAAGCATACGAACTTTATGGACATGAGATGCCGGTAGCTTTCTTCACTGATAATGTGCAAAGCGATAAACGATTCTTGGAGAGCATCTTCGACTCTTTGAAGGTCATTCAAGAGGTCCCACGTCAGCAAGAGACTGCAAACAGCAACGCAAACCGGTTATTCCTCAGGCTGCCAAATGATGTTGAGGTAGACTATCTCAATCGTGATGTAGGGTTGATTATTAGGAAGATGAAGGATCTGAATGACAAGTTGACAGTCGAGAGAAACGCTGGCAAGCCCTCGGTTATTGGACTTGACACAGAATGGAATGTGAATGACGATCCGCATTACGATCAAGTTGATGTCATTCAGATTGCTCATGGCAATACAGTGGACGTCCTGCATATTGATAGATCCTGGCTCGCACTTCCCAAGGAGCTTGTAGATGTGCTTGTAAATGCTGATATCACGAAAGTTGGAAGAAGCATTGGTGTTGATTTCTCTCGTCTCAATAATCGGTTCGGAATTGAATGCAAAACGAAGTTGGAGCTAGGATCATTCTGTTCTGCACGGCAGCTAATCTCAACAGGTACAATGTCATTGTCAGACATTTCGCTATGTATACTTGGTGCCCCTCTTGATAAAGGCCCTCAAAGAAGCGCATGGAATATGGCTGACCTCTCGCCAGATCTTCTAAATTATGCTGCAATTGATGCTTGGGCTAGTTTGGCCATCTACAGTGTTGCTGCGAATCATCTGCCTGTTGGTAATCGTGTGCTTCCTACCTGTCCAGTTGGTTCGTTTGTAGATGTGATGCCTCCACGAAACAGTCAAGCTGTTGCCTACGGCGAAATCGTGGTTAATGGTAGCACAGCAACTGTAAGAATTACAAAAGTATATGTTCCTGGATATCTGGCAAATGGTATTGCTTTGCAAACATATGGTGAACCACCATTTGAACTGAGAGTTCCTGCAGCTCATCTCATCACAGCTGCTTCACCATCTGAAGCCTCGAGTATTTCCTCTGCTAATCCTACCGCCCCTAGCGATCCTGTAATAGCTACGCCAGTAAGCAATCCCAATGCTATTATGGAGTCAGAAATTCAGTCAAAGATGCAAGAGATTTTTGGTGATGCTATAGACAGGGTTGACAAGGCTGGCTTTACCAGTGGCTATCGACAGTTTGCTTGGTATAATGCTGATCCCAAAATTGCTTTTACTCGCGTCGTCAAAGACATTTTTCATTTGATGGATATGATCAAGCCTTATAAGAGACACACCTTGTATAAGCAATTCACTAGAAAATTTAGTGAAAGCTTATTTACGATTGATGAGACTGACAAAGAAAAGGTCATCGCGGCATTTGCACAGAAAAGACTTAGGGATCCAAGCTTTACACACACCTGGGATTCGAAGATGAAATACGATCGTGCGTGGTTGTGGAGAAGAGTACGAAGAAAGGTGTCTGCTCCTGAAGTGTTGCTTCCTCTTTTAAAATCCTTGTTTCTTTCTTACGGCCCTCTGAAGTGCGCAAAATCTGGAAGAGCACTGTTTGATAAAAAATCTTGGGATCAAGCAGCTGCTGTCTTGAGAACAGTGCAGTTAGGCCATGTGTCTGATCCGCCAGATGTACAATTGTACATTAAGACAGGAAAATTGGACGATCTCAAGCTGACACTCTATAGATGCATCCGTGGAACAAACTCTTTAGAAGGCGGAGTCCATCAGAACTTGATTCGCAAGTTTGGGTCGTTTGGTGCTGGTCCAGAGCTGGCTAATGCGATGCTTACTGAATACAGGCTGAGACATAATCTCGACGTGGGTTCAAAGAACAGGCATTCAGTCATTTACAAAAGCCATTATGATCCCTGGCTAGTTCAGCATATTGATCTCTTGCGTCAAAAAATGGGATTCAGTGCTGACACAAGAAACATCGCTTTGTCTGTGAATGCTTTGGAATATTGCGGTTCTGGTGAGCTCTTTGGTATATGCCCTTTACCAAATGAAGAGATGGTCAAAATTGGTATCTTGCCCTCTGAGATCACGGATGAGAGCTTGCCTCTTATAGACAAAACAATTCCACAGCTCCAAGACACTGTCTTCATGAAAGTTGGGTCAACTTTGCGCTCACATCTTGGCCGTTACAAGTTTGTTGCAAACAATCAATGTACAAAGTTTGCCGTGCTCGCTGTCCATACGATGAAGGAGAAATCCGAATTCAGGGTCATTTATGAAACTCACTACAAGAATAGCAACAATAGAAGGATAAATTTTGTTGATTTTGCCAGCAAGTTCAATGAAAAGGCCAACGGTATTGATATATTCTATAAAACCACGGATCATCTCGAGAAGTATTATAAAGATTTCGAATTACAAGACGGAGTATCCAAAACAGAGGAGATTCATCAAATAGCTTTGAGACTCATTGAGCATCAAGTCGTCTCCACTAATCAGCCTTCTCAACTACTGCCAGCAGCATCACCAAGAATACCATCCATCAACAATATTTTTGCTGTCGTTTCTGCTGCCACAATTGATGCACAAATACCGCCGCCATCTGTTTCATCGCAACTGCTTCAACCGCAACCACAACAGCCACACCTACAGCACAATGTCCTCCCTGCTGGCTACTATTTCCAGCCATCATTGCCTGTTCCTAGCCACAGACTACAAGATGTCTTGCCCGTTCCTGATCACAGGCCCCAAACTGCCTTGCTGGTCCCAACACACAGGTTCATCTCACCTCGACTGCAGATGTGCCATCCACATCCCTACCAGAAAGCACCAGTAATAACAAAAAGGGTTACAGCAAGAAAGTGTAAAGGTTGTGGAAGTGAAGTCTGCAATGGTAAAAACAAACGAACAGACTGTAGTAGTCCAAGATGTTTGAAATGTGCTGCGACATCTGGCTGTCCAGGTATCTGGGATGCCAAAAATTGCAACAGGTGATTGCAAAAATGATATATTGTCATCAGTTAAAGCCCACCTTTCTATAAAGCACACGTATACATTATTCCGTATTCGGATACTTTGAAATATACTTGCTAGTACCATAAGCACCGTGTCATTTAGACACCTACTACTCTTATGAACATCTTTTGCTTCGGCGTTAAATTTACTGTATGAGGCGATTACATGGATTAAAACCGTAAAATTCAAGAATTTAACTTGGATAATAATCTTGCCAATATCAGAGCAATACCACTTTCTACGTGCATTTATTACAATCAAAACCTTCAATTACAAAAAAAATTTGGCTTCGCCAAAATTACTAAATATGGAAATTCAAACAATTTTTGCCCCAGATATGTCATACACGCCCCTTTTTTGCCAGATTCGACTATAAAAAATGTGCTGATCATCCTATACCTCCTTATGCTTTCTTGAAGTACTTTTCAAGGCGCATCCGATGGTGCCAATTGTAATAGGTGTTTTGAATAAACTTACTGAGCAATTTATGAAAATATGAAATGAGGTTTTTGGCAAAAAAAATCGAGATTTTCCATATAAAGGTCTCGCAAACAAGGTTTCAGGGATTACTTTAGATCGAGAGAAACATTTTGAATTCATATATGCCTTATTAAAAGTCTTCAGTTTTGGGGTCGAAAACGCGATCGTTTGATTTTTGATAAAAATCGTGAGGGGTACCTCATGCTTTTTGGTCGATTTTCGGTCATGTTTTTTTGGTTCCCAAAAAGTTGGGCAAAGGTGTCAGGAAGTTAATGCTAGAGGAGAGGAGTTGTTTGGTGCTAATCTAGAAGTCTAAAACGGCTTGAAACGCGAGAAATCACTGCCCAAATGTACTCAAATTTGGCTGTATGCGGCATAATTTCGAGTAGTAAGAGCTAATGGAGGTATGCTGTCTGCCTGTACATTAACTTTTCTCATTAATATAGATGCAGAGCATCATAGGAGAACCAGGCTCACAGTTACAAGCCGTTTGCAAAAAAATTTCAAGCAATACAAACTAAAACATCAGTTTGTATTATTAGAATGTTGCGACTTGGATTTAATACTGGTTGATGGCAGTATTAGGCGAGAAGAGAAAAGTGAAATGAATTCATGCATTCAATAAGGCATCTTGTCAAGTTTCTTTAATGCGTTTCACATCTTATTTGCTGGCTTTTAGCCTGGAAACACATTAAATAGTGCGAGTGTTTATGCTTCGGATGGCTCTCTACCTTCGCTTCGCTTCGGTGAAAACCAACCTACGTTCAAACGGCTCGCGCTGCCGCAGGCCTTTGGCTGATATCCCAATATTAATATAGCTAAAATGTTAGAAGAAGAACCCTGATTGTTGATTGATATATAATCACTAATCATATGAGTGTTTATGCTTCGGATGGTTCTCACCGAAGCGTAGCGAAGGTAGAGAACCAACCTGCACAGCGACAGCTCGAGTTACCGGTTACCCTTGTGTATCTTATCATAATACTACTACGTTCAAGCTGACCCTCTACTTACACATGAAAACCCTTTATAATATCTGTGGATCTGACTCTTATCTGATGCTCTACATCCATATACACGTATCTACTTCATATACGGGCAAGTAGCATACTGGTATTTCCACTTTTTAGTCCTTAGTATCCATAATACAGCAAAATTTGAATGCATTTGAGCTGTGTTTTCTCGCGTCCAAGGCCATTTTAGATTGTCATAATAGGACCAAACACTTGCTCTCATCTGGCAGTTACTTTCTGACACCTTTGCTCAACTTTTTGGGGATCAAAAAAACATGAACAAAATTCGACCAAAAAGCATGAGGTACCCCTCATGGTTTTCATCAAAAATCAAACGATCGCGTTTTTCACCTTGAAAATGGAGACTTTTACTATGGTATATCTTGAATCAAAATGTTTCTATCGATCCAAAGCAACCTCTGAAATCATCTTTGTGGGACTTTGATATGTAAATTTTCGACATTTTGGCCAGAAACCTCTTTTCATATTTTTATAAATTGCTCAGTAAGTTTGTTCAAGACACCTATTACAATCGGTACCATCGGATGCGCCTTGAAAAGTACTTCAAGAAAGCATAAGGAGGTATAGGATGATCAGCACATTTTATATAGTCGAATCTGGCAAAATAGGTCGGATAGAGTCGAAAAACACCAGGATTTGGCCAATCTGGAACAGACTATGAGTCTGGGTGTAAATTAATTTTGGCTTATGGGATAGGCTGGCAAACTCAATGCCCTTCTAATAATCATGAAGGCAATACAGCAATAGATTCTTTTGAAGCGTATAAAAAGTGGGTGGCAAATTACATAACGCTATTGTTAGCCATGCTATTCTTCTTGCGTTCTATATTTAATAACGCCAGTCTACCAAAACACTTGTCAGATCAACTTCTTTCCTTTTTGAGGCTTTGAAAGTGTCTAGGGACTGAACATTTATTATGTTATGATGGTATTGTCAGTTCTCAATCTTTTCAACATGGCTGCGCAATGTTCCCTACTTGGTCCCCAAGTTGCAAATGAAGGTTTCGCAACCTTATTTCTCCTTTAATACAAGGGTTTAGCTAAATGGATTCAATGTGTTTGAACGGGAGATGTAATCATATATCTTCTTCGCTAATGGAACTCTCTGAAAGCATCTTTAAGCTCTGTAGCCCGCAATCACCGAAAACTTCGAGAAGATTCGCATGAATTCCAACTGCTGTAGTTCCTGCCATTGGAAGATATTACACTGAAATCCAATCAAAGGCTAGCTCAAATCGCTCAGAAAGGTAACTACATTTGACAATTCATTTCAAGGCATCCACTGTGGAAATGGGGTATCAGATTTTGCAATCGTGCTATCAAGCAAATAATACAACATCATCAGAATCTCAATCAGGATATAACTGAATTGAATGTCATGCCAGATTCATATTTTCATACGATAACCCAAGCTTTGGGTTATCAATGAACCAATTACATCATTGAACAGTCGTCGTAAAGATCGGAGTAGCCCATGTTGGGCCATTCAGGAAATACCCAAATACCTGCTCCAATGCTAACCTCTTTTTCTTTTATATTAAATCAAAATGACTAAAAACGCTGAAAAAGCAATAAAAAAGACGACAAACAAAATAGCCAAAGGTGCAGACAGCTATGGAACAAAGCGTCTGGATGACAACAAGCATTGCAAGATGGAAAACCCGCTGGATGTCGAGTACGTCAATGAGGTCCATGTATCCGACTTTATGAAGGCCTTAGCGTATGATCCTGTGAAAGGGGTGGATACATCAAACGCAGAACACATCTCAGCATGGACAGACGCCCTGCCAGTGAGAAGCACTTCTAGCAGCAGCAGCAGCACTAAAGATCAAAAGAAACCATCCAAAAGAAAGCTGAGGGAGCAGGAAGCCGCAAAACCAAAGGGCATATCCCACTCATTACTACAATACCCCTTGATAGTAAGTCAATGATTTATATGGACACCTTGCTTAATGTACTCATCTGTTGGTAGATTATCATTGGTGTCATCATGTTTGTTGAATTGGTCGCTTACATCTCGCTACGTCAAATTGTTCGCATTTGGGAAAACGTATTTAGTTGGTAAGGACAATTGTTACAAAAATGGCATTAGAGAACGATAAATTAATAATTGCTCAGGAGAGGCAAAAAAAGGATACTTCGCAACAAGCTGCGTGCGTCCAAGACATATAAAGAGTGGTGCGAATCGGCAGACGCACTAGACAACTACATGCACAAAGACGAGTGGAAAAAGACGATCCCCTTTGCCTACTACGATTATCGCCTGCTACAAAAAGTCGTCAAACACCTTAAAATTTATCGTCAAGGCGATACAGTCGAAGATGCAACAAAGCTGATGGACGTTTTATATGTCTGTCTGAAACAAAACTTTGCTGGCATCGAGAATGCCAGACTCTACAGTAACACATACCTGGGCACAAAAGCGCTTATTGAGGAATACGTGGAGGAAGTGACTCGATCCATCGAAGCACTTGCATCCAACAAGCACATCTCCAGCGATGAAAAGAAGCTCGCATTCAAGTTGTACTCTAAAAATTACGGACGCACAGCATTTTGTTTGTCAGGTGGTGCTGGCTTTGGTTACTATCATCTAGGGGTGATTCGAGCCTTGCTGGACCGTGGATTGCTCCCTTCTATTATTACAGGCACATCCGCAGGATCTTTGATGGGCGCTATTGTCTGCACTCGTACGGATGAAGAATTGGATCAAATCCTGAATCCTGAACTCTCTAGCAGAATTCGCATTTGTCAGGATAGTTGGCCTACCAAATTCTACCGTTTTGTCACACAAGGATCTTTGTTTGATGCAGAGCAATGGTGTCGTGAGGCCATGTGGTTCTGCAAAGGCTCTCTCACATTCAAGGAAGCTTACGAAAGAACAGGCCGTATCTTTAACGTATCGGTCATTCCCTACGATCCTCATTCACCACCCAAGCTTTTGAACTATCTCACAGCACCCGATTGTGTTGTTTGGAGCGCTGTGTTGGCTTCTGCTGCTATTCCAGGTGTAAGTTGGATATCTATTTTTTTTTTTTTGCCCACAATTTGGGGCTGACAACTAACACATTAATTTTAGATTTTGAATCCAGTGGTTCTGATGCAAAAGAAGCGAAACTCGACTCATTTGATACCGTACAATTATGGTCACAAGTTCAAGGATGGCAGTTTGTCCACTGATATCCCGACACTTGCCCTGAACACGCAATTCAATGTCAACTACACTATTGTCAGCCAAGTGAATCCACACGTCCATGTCTTTTTCTATGCAAACCAAGGCAGCCCTGGTAGACCAGTGACTCATTTGGAAGGCCGTGGATGGCGTGGTGGGTTCTTGGCTTCCACCATTGAGCAAATGTTGAAACTGGATCTGGCAAAGTGGCTGAAGGTTTTGCGATCCTTGAAACTCTTACCCAAAGTGCATGATCAAGATTGGAGTTCCGTTTGGTTACAAAAGTTTGATGGCAATGTCACTATCCTGGTAAGCGCACATGATGAAGCGATTTTCAGTTCGATTGACTCACATTCATGTCATCCATCACAGCCCAAATCAAACCTCTCAGATTGGCTTTACACAATTGCAGACCCTGATACTGAGAGACTCAAGAAACTGATGAGCATTGGTCAAATTCGTACCTGGCCCAAAATCTCTATGATATCCAACAGAATGCGCATTGAAGCTTCCATTGAGAAAGTGCGTCGGCTACTGCGTGCCAACGCCAGCAATAAGAACAACCGTGCTGGCCGTTTCAATAGCTATTCCGATGTTGAAACTGAGAAATTATCTCAGAGCATGGAGGCACATGATGCTATGAATCATGCAAACAATAGTGATGCCGGTAGTGGCGATGAGTTGGTCTTCCTCAGCCGTCGTCGCGTCAGCATGCCTGATGGATCTTTCCAGCATTTGCAAGACAAAGACTTCTTCAAGGAGCAAAATAGACGACGCAAGTTCATGGCCCAGTTCTTGGATTCGCCCAAGGAAGGAAACAATAGCACTCAATCGTCTGTTTTGTTTGATTCTCATTCGGACGATTCTGATTCTCATTCACTTTTCCCAAGCTCTCCTGAAGACTATTCACAGCATCACTAAATACCATTCTTTATCTCTATACACTACATTCGTCTTTCGACCCTTCTCATATAAACATGCTGTAAATAAATCAAGAGTGATAGACTTTTCTTAAACAATAGTGCCACTGCGATTCAAGTGATGAGGAATCACTTGATGTGCCAGTGAAGGCTGCTTTCTTGCTCTGCTTGTATTGAAAAGCTTGGAGATGTTGTGTGCGATGTTTACACTGCAAGTATTTCAACTATTTCCTTACAAATCGTTGCAAGAACATCAGGTATGCTTATTTAAATGGTATAAACAAAATGAACAAGCTCTTGCATGTTTCTTGATGATGCGTTGTGCACTGTTTAAGGCCTTACTTTATCAGTTGTTTTGTAATGAATGAGGTTCGAGATGACTAATTATGGTATGCGTCTGTAAGCTGCTCTTCCAACTCTTCTAAGCTTTCACAGTGCTCTTTACAGCAAGCGTAAGCAAATCAGATTGCGAAATTGGTCTAATAATTGGTTAGAGAATGTCGAGGAATCATTAGCATCTTGACACGCGGGTCTACGCTGGGCCTTGGTGATGAGCTTGACGCCATGAGCAACATAAGTAATACATTCAAATGAAATCATGCTAGATGCAACCAACTACTTGGTGTTGTATACGCCAGCTTGAGTGTCACGGTCAGGCACGTCAAGTACTGGAGGCAATAGGCCATGTCAGTCTTAATGTTTTCTTGCATGAGCCAATTGACACTTGCGCTCAAGTTGCTTTTCTACTGAATGCTTTCTTGCAGATGCGGCATGTGCTACTAAGGTATACGTACTAAAGAGTACTGTTCATTGTCACTTTGGTCATTAAATGTTAACGCATCACATTGCCAACTCGATTGCCAATGCACCGCTCTTGAAACCCTACATCCATTGGAGCTCTTGTTATTTAACCAAATACTTTTGATCGAGTCATTTTTCGAGAAAACTGCCAAAGTAGGTTCCATCTCGTAGGACCTTGTTTACATCGATCAGATCAAGATCCCGGCAGATCAAGCAAATTAGGAAGATGGCATAGCACAAGCCCCCTCTCGGATCTCTAATTGCTTTTTTTTTTGTATTAAAGTGTCGGATCTCTAATTGCTGCCCACATTCAGCAAAATGTTATCTGGATTTCAAGTGTGGAAAAAAAACTGTATTTTTAAGGGCCAAAGCTTTCCTCTCGAATCTCGGTAACCTTTTTCTTCTTCTCTTCTTTCACTTTGTTCCTCTTTTGAACTCATTTAACATGAAGTTTGGACATACTCTTCGTACATCTTTGAACCCTGATTGGTCATATCATTATGTTGGTAAGTTGTCATTGTGATCCTATGTTGTTCTATCTCAGGGGCAAAGTGTATAAATGGTAACCAACACATACACACACATCATCATCTAGCGTATGAAGATTTGAAATCTATCCTCAAAAAGGAGGCACTCGGTGGTGCCTGGTCTGAAGAAAGCGAGAGTAAATTCGTTGAAATGTTGGAAAAGGAGCTCGATAAGGTGTATTCATTTCAGCGCGTCAAATTGGGAGAGATCAACCGTCGTATCGAGAACGAGGCTCGAGAAGTAGATATACTGTGCCAGTCCGAGAATCCCGAAGAGGACGATTTTACTGCTTCAGAGATTGAATTGGGGCACATCATTGCAGACGTACATGATTTGGCCAAGTTTACAAGACTGAATTACACTGGCTTTCTGAAAATCATCAAGAAGCATGATGTAAGTTTCAGAATAGAATAGGAAGGAGTGTAAAAAAAAAGTGCATCAAAGATTCCATGATTCAAACCAATCATCACCCGCACGTGGGGGGGGGGAATCAGTGTTGCTTGAACTGCGAGTCTAATCTCTCCGTTGTAACAATAGAAAGTGACAGGATGGCCATTGAAGCCCATGTTTGGCGTGAGATTGAACGCAAAGCCCTTCTACAAGGAAAACTATGATGCTTTGATCATTCGCATCTCTACCTTGTACGATCGTGTGCGCACTCGTGGTAAGGAGCGTGGTGGTGATTCAGGTGCTGGTGGCAAGCAATCTGCCTTTGTCAGAAACACAACAAAGTATTGGTAGGTTACATTAGATGCTCTGTGTTGATTTGACCGGGAATTAACACATCAACTGTGTGCTGTCATTTAGGGTCCATCCTGATAACATCACCGAACTCAAACTGGTCATTCTCAAGCATTTGCCTGTGCTCGTTTTCAACCCTAACAAGGAGTTCGAGACCCAGGACTCTGCCATTACCAGCGTCTATTATGACAATGATGATTTTGACCTCTACATGGGCCGTTTAGAAAAGACTGAAGGAGCTGAAGCTATTCGTATGCGTTGGTATGGTGGCATGGATTCGAACACGATCTTCGTGGAACGTAAAACACATCATGAAGATTGGACAGGTGAAAAGTCCGTCAAGGCACGTTTTCCAATCAAAGAAAAGTATTTGAATAGCTTTCTTCAAGGCACCTACACCACTGATGAGTTGTTTGCTAAAACAAGAGAGCAAGGCCGTAAATCAGAAAAGGAAATCCAAGAACTGGAGCAACTCGCTCAAGAGGTGCAGTATACCACACTGACCAAGCGTCTTCACCCCATGATGCGCACCTTTTACAACCGTACTGCTTTCCAATTGCCTGGCGATGCCCGTGTACGTATCAGTTTGGACACGGAATTGAGTCTTATCAGAGAGGATAATGAAGGTAAAAACAGATCAGGAGATAACTGGCGTCGCATGGACATTGGCGTGGATTATCCTTTCAAGCAGCTGCCTGAAAGTGACATCTGCCGTTTCCCCTATGCCGTGCTGGAAGTCAAGCTTCAAACACATGTTGGTCAAGAACCTCCCCAATGGGTCTTGGAATTGGTCAATTCTCATCTGGTTGAATCTGTGCCCAAGTTTTCTAAATTTATCCATGGTTGCGCTACGCTGTTGGAAGACAAGATCAACGATCTGCCCTTCTGGTTGCCTCAAATGGACATTGACATTCGTAAGCCTCGCAACAAGGTATTTGGTGTGTCTCGCCCTGAGGCTCTTTCAAGTAGTTCAGTGTCTGGAAGTAGCGGTAGCGCATACGATGGATCCAAATTGACTACAGACGAGAATGTTCAAATTGCCATGCGGGAAGCAACCGAATCAACACCTCTACTAATTGGCGATGGCAACTTCCACACAGGCAATCGCACCAACAAGGACGAGGATGGTCTATTGAAGCAGCTATCGCCAGCTGGTCTCAAGAATCTATTCAAAAAGTCCAAGACCATCTTTATCCGCAAGGAAGCATCTCCCGCAAAGGGTCGTGGACGTCCCATCCCTACCAAGGCTCCTCCTGCCAAGACATACTTTGCTAACGAACGTACCTTTTTGCACTGGCTCCAATTCACGCTCTTGTTGGGCGGTTTGGCTATTGGTTTACTGAACTTTTCTGACAACGTGGGTCGTATTTCTGCAGGCATCTTTACACTTTTGTCCATGTCTGTCATGATTTACGCCCTCTACAAATACCATGATCGTGCTGATCGAGTGGAGAGAAATGAGCTGGGTGATTTCTCTGATAAATATGGTCCTGCTGTGTTGACCTTCTTTGTGGTAGTAGCTATCTCTATCAACATGTTCCGTAAGTAGCCGTCTGATTTGACATGCTGCATGTATTGACTAACTCGTCTCATTCTAGTTCGTATTGCCATGGACGGTAGCGATAGGGACTAACCGTACTATTTACTTTATTTTCATGTTTTCTCCTCATATCATATAAATTTATACTTTTTCTAGCAATCCATAATGTCTCTGTACCATCACTGCTTTGAAATAAACCTTTAATATTCTAGACTTGCCTATACTTTCAATTGTCATTCTGATAAACATTTGAACATCTCTCAAAAGCTAAAATAATCCTTGTACACGGAATTCAGCAGCAAGGTGTCACTGAATACTGCTTGACAACCTCCATGCTGAAGAAGCATAAACAGATTCACATGAATATTAGAGTGCTTTCCAAAAGAACCACATGCATAGAAACAGTTTAGCCAGAGCAAGTTTTCCCATCGTTTGATTGTTCTCTTGATTGAATGAGGAGAATGTTTTTCTTGAATCTCTACCTGCAATTTGCGATTTGTCATTTTTCCAGGGCGTGGGTGAAAATTTAAGTCTACGCCTTCCTTTGGTGGAGTATTCAGGTGCTTGTCATTAGAAAACACACATGTGAAAATGGGGAGACAAAAAAAAAAAAAAAAAATACATAAAGAGCTCCAGTTTCTATAATTTCTTTCGTTTATCTTACTATAACTCACATCTACCAAGCCATGTCAGACTTTCCAATCGCACTTCCCAGCAAGGAGCAACACTCCATGACACTTTCCAAGGAAGGACCTCTCTTCATCCTTCATCTGCATGACAAAGATAACCGTTTCAACACTCAATTCTGTCGATCTATCCTCAAAGCGCTTGAAATTGTTGAAGATGCGTTCGTTTCATCCGAGGATCCTGTTGACATGGCATTAGTTACTTTGGGCAATGATAAAATCTACAGCAATGGCTTGGATTTGATGCATGCTCTCAGCTATGGTCCTTTCATGGATATCTACCTTACAGTTCTTAGACGTTTAGTCACCTTCTGTATCCCTACAGTGGCTGCCATCAACGGGTAATTGAAAGAAACTTGGTTTCATCGCGTCAATTGAACGCTAATTGTACCTTTCGTATATAGCCATGCTTTTGCCGGTGGTTGTATGTTGGCTCTTGCTCATGGTAGGTATAACTCAAATTTTGATTTTTTTTTAAAAAAAAAAAAAAAAAAAACTGGGGCATTAATATCAAACCAGATTACCGTGTCATGCGTTCTGATCGTGGATACATGTGCATGAATGAAGTGGATCTTCCTTCTCCTCTTGCCCCTGGTATGGCCGGCCTTTTGCGCTACAAGATGAGCCCCAAGACCTATCGTGATATGGTTTTGCAAGGCCATCGTTTCACTGCACAACAAGCCTTGGACCAAGAGCTTGTTGATATTATTTGTCCTGGAGACCAAGTATTCGACAAGGCCAAGGAACTTGCCTTGAAGTGGGCTCCCAAGGCTAAATCTGGCATTGTTTACAAGCAATTAAAAGACGAGGTAAATACATCCACTTTTGCTGAAGATTGCAACTAGCTAATATCCTGAAAAAAAATAGATGTATTGCGATATCGTCAGACTTTTGAGCATACCCTTCCATCGTCTTGCACCCAAGATGTAAATACGAATAAAGGCATGTTAAAAATTTATGTCATCAATCAGACATGGATCTTTAATTTACGGTTTCAAACAATTTAACAAACAAATCGTTTTCTTATCTGATCTTTGCTGCGGCACGTGGCTTTTTATTCAACCAGATGAAAAGATATTGACAAAAATTAGATGGGATATGGAGAAAAAAGAATGATACAAAAAGTAAGGAGGAAAACAATGCGAAAGAAATAAGAGTAATGAGTAGAGAAAGAGAGAAAGAGAGAGAGAGAGAGGCTCTAAGCATGTCGTTGAATACATTCAATGTATAAATCAACATCGTCTTCTGTCAAGGTATGATGAGGCTCAAATGTAATTTTCTTTTTCAAATCTTGACACAATTGATCCAAGTTAAAATCAGGGCAATAGCTCTTTACATCCTGATTGATCTGAGCAATGGAACGGTTGGCTCCTCGAGAACGACGCAGCATACCCAACACCTTCTTCTTGCAAGGTTTCTCATTCTCAGGCGCACATTTGAGCAGGGCTTCTTGATCTACTAGTGCCTGCATTTGTTCACTAAAAAAAGCATCCAGTTCACTGTTCTCTTCATAATTGGTCAAGTCAGGAGCCCCAAAAAAATCCATCTCTGCGCCGAAGAGTGCTGGTAAGGGTTCATTCTGTATCAAAAAGTCGGCTTCATTGGAAGAGGGGGTCAAAAATGGGTTCTCTTTACCATGTTGTAACAGGCTGAATGAATTTTGATCTGTGGTGGTGTTGAAAGTAAACTCAGGCTCTTTGGTCTCGGTTGCTACATTAAAACTTGTTTCTGGCATGGAGCGGGCAGAATCCGATGTACTACCGCCTTGAGAATCCGATAATTCACCACACTTGCTACTGTCTTCACAGCCACAACTGAACATGGACTTATCTGCCTGTGATTGATTATCCATGTCAGGCGAGGACAGCATGGTTTGATCGTCTGTGTTTGGTGGTGAGACCAACGGCATCGGTGTAGATTGAACCTTGCTCTCTGTTTGCCCATCCACATCTTGATCTTTCTCCTTGGCTGCCGAGAATTGAAATGTAAAATGAGCATCCTTTAGCAAGTAGTTTTCTTCCTTGAGTTTTTCATTTTCCCTCTTGAGTCGAGCATTCTCAGCAGACAATTCCTTCTCGCGCTTTTCTTTAGCTTGTTGGAGCTCACGCATTTGATCTTGTAACTTGTTGACAAACTGCTCTTTGCGCTCTCTAAATGCTCGTTGTGCTGCGCGATTCTGTGCCTTTCGTTTCGACTTTGGATCAGATGGCAGTACCTAATAAGAATGTCAGTCAAATACAATGCCATTTCCGAAAAAGTACGAAACACCTACAGTAACAGATTCCAATGGCTTTCTTCCTGGCTTCTTTGCCTTCTTGATAGGTCCCTTGGCTTCAAATTGAATAAGAAATTCAAGTGTCAAACCAAACGATTGAGGTGCCGATCGGGGGCCATCGGTGTGAATTTATCCATGTCCTTACCTGAAGAAGTTTTGCTGGTGGTGGCAACGGCAGCTGCTGTATAAGAGATGCAATGGTTTAGCCATAGTGGTTCCGTATTTGCATTATACTTTTCTGGACTGCACCTTTTCTAGTGGTCTTTTTCTTGGTCTTTGGTGCAGAATCACTGCTCCAATCAAACGAATCATCTGAGCTCAAGTCATCGTCTTGGTCTCTGTACCTAGAACGAGGTGTAATTGCCATGATTGCTTGCAGATGTGAGTGCTGCTTGTCAAAATAATGTTGCTGTAAGATTGAAACAAGCAGATGCTTACAAAAAGAATGAACAAACACAGAAAAAGAAAAAAAGAAAAAAAAAAAGTGATTCACACTATTCATATAAATGTTTTTTTTTTTGGGCTTCAATGCCAATCATGGCCACCATGTTTCGCTTACAAATACAGTTGAGTCATTGATTGGATGAATGAGATGAGATTTTTGGGTGCATGGTGATAGGAGTTGACACACAACCTGGTGGTGGTTGGCATATTAAGAACACCAACAATCCCAGGATTGAATGGTTTGCAACGGACAGAACCAGAAAAAGATGGTACATGTATTTATTATGAACGTACTGTACAAAGTGTGTAAAAGAGGTATATAAGAAGCGTGCTTATTTTTTATAAGATGGACTTTGAGGACTGGAGGGAGTTGTGGTAGTATGTTTCTTTGCTGGTGCTGTTGTTGTGCTTAGTTGAGGTTGGGACCATCGCTGATGCTGGCCTCGACTGCTGCCACTGCTGTTGCTTATCACAACTTCGTTACTATGGTTATAATGTGACATTAGACGACGCTCTTTGCGCTTTCCACTTTCTGTTTTATGAACCGACCTTCTATTCTCCCCATCATCTACTATGGAATAAATGCTTTGATCCTCAAATAGACTGTTGGTATATTCGTCAAATGGCGCTTCATTCACACTGTTTCTTCGCATTTGTTGTTGTTGGTGATGATGATAATAAGCACTTGCTTGAGGCAAAGTAGATGATATCGAAGAATAGGGTCTTTGATCCAGCATGGACGGTGAATTGGGCGCTGAGGAATCCATGTTACTGCCAGAGTAATATCCGCCGCTGCCACCGCCTACAGAGGATGAAGACGCTGACGATAGCCACGACCTTCGGAACGAGGAGTCTGTTGCTGTAGGCACTTTTGATAATTGCACAATCTCGTCAGGTAATACACCGCCCACACCAAAACTGGATGAAGATCTTGCTCGTTTCGAGTTGTTGATAGTTGGTATAGGTGATTGGATTAGCAACGATCGTCGTTTGGCTCGATACTCCGATGGTCTAATGGTTTTCTCAGTCGCTGTAAGGGTGCTCTCTAGTTGAGGCTTCTGTGGAAAGTCAGCCTCGAACGAGGTCTTGTGTTGTTGAGGCAATGGAGAATCCCTGACATCATGAATGTCAGCCATCTTCACTGGGGATGTTGCCAGGACGTAATCGGCTGGAGGTGAGTTGGTGGCTGTCATGATAGCGCTCATGTTGCTTTGCGTATTGCAGCTATTGATGTTCTTGGGAGCACTGATAGGCATTGACCATTCTCTTCGTTCGTCGTCATAATGTCTCATCAGGGGTAAATCAGTGCTGCTGGTTAGCACATTGTTTTCCAGCTCCATGTATTCGTACTGATGAATGGCATTTTTGGTTTTTAAATTTTTGTAGATGGTGCAGAGACCAAATACATATGCAGACCACAGGAATGCAACTGCCACAGTGATATTGACATATGTAGATGGATCCTCGATGTAATAGCGCATATAATGAATCCAACCAATGTTGGCCCCCATAAAGAGAACGCCTCCACAGATCGACATGAGCGATGCCAATAATCCAGCGACCAGTGTGATGGATGCAAAAATGAACCGATGCTTGCAAGTGTTTTGCTGTTCCTTGTCATCCTGATCCTGATCCTCGTCTTCGTCGATGTCGATAGCATTCGTTGTATCCGTATTTTGCTGAAACATGCGATGTGGAAGATTATCAACTGGTGATTTTCGAAATACAATCTGAGTTAAGCGGGCAATGGCTCCGATGATTAATATGTAGCCCAGCATGGTATGAATTTGCGCTGCATAGTCATCGTCCATTTGCGTGATGCCAGTTACAATAGCTACAGATGTAAATATCAGACATCTGTATATCAAAACTCCCATACCCCACATATCTTTACCTCTGCCTGTCAAACATAAGATAAGCGAATTCACAATGTTTCTCTCTCGTAAAGCGGGTATCCATGTTTGTACGCTCAAACTAATTGAAAACAAACCACCTGTAAACCATAATACACCGAGATTGATGGCCCGCCATTCCGAACCTAAAATAGGCGTTCCTAGATCCATCATCAGTGAGTAATGTGTTCCTGCTCTGAGGGTTATGCTCTCATAACAATAAAACAAAACCCTCACTACAGAATAGGAGGCATCATATATAAACCCTTACCTGCTAAAAGTAAGCTAATAAATCCCCAGAACGTGAGAATCACACCTTCGTAATACTCTGGAGTTGACGGACGCGGCAATTTAATGATAGCTAATAGATGTAATAAAACCAGTGTACCGTAAAAGAGAAAACCTGTTCCCATGGCAACTGGCATCAAACATTGAGATGTGGTGTTGTCTTGCTGTGTGCAACTCTCTGTAAAGATGACGGTAGCGAGTACCAAGTAGCTGAATGCAACCATCAGATTGAACCATCCCAGGGCTAGATCAACCCATTTAGGTATGTTTGCAAAGCATTTTGTCAAGACTGACTGTATTGCTGGCATATGGCTAGCAAGAAGGTTTGATCTCCAAGCGATTAATACGACATGCGCCAATACAAGACATGATAAGAGGATCGCAAATAGGTTAAATATAAATGACGTCCAGGTATTTTGTTGTTGCTGTTGTTGTTGCTCCGTTTGTTTGATGAAACAGCCAGAAATAAAACCAATTGATGCAAAAAATATAGACAAGCCGATAATGTACGCTTTTCTCTTTCGGATTTGTCGAGTGAGTAGTAAAGGATAGCAGCCGAGAAATGCAATGACCATTGATATATAATGAGTGATAACAATAGGTTGTTTGAAAGGCACATTGGATGAAAAGGAGTGGATGGACGCCGAGTCCATGTTGAGGGTTCGTTTTGCTTTATGGTGTATAATAGTTGTGAAAGAAGAAGAAAGAAAGAAGGAGCAAGGCACAACACAGGATTACACTCTGCTTTATACTAAATTTGGGTTCATTTAGATGCCCGTCGAGAAGAATAACATATGTAACTAGTATTTATATATCAATTTATTGTTGTTTGTATTAAGTATTCTAACCAATAATAAGCTTATCATCCGAGAAACTGTATTCAGGGATTTCGAGGTTGAGAGGAGCAGGACCCTTACGAATACGACCTGAGATATCATAATGGGAACCGTGACAAGGACAATACCATCCTCCATAATCACCAGCTTCACCAATGGGTACACAACCCCTATAAAAAGATTGCAAACTGTTAATTACCAACATCCCTCATGCCCTGAATCTACAATATGGAAAACTTACAAATGGGTACAAACACCCAACATGACAAGCCAGCTAGGATCCTTCACTCTTTCAGCATCTTGTTGAGGATCACGGAGCTCTTGAACATTGACTTCGTTAGCTTCAGCAATTTCTGATTGAGTACGATGACGGATGAAAACAGGCTTTCCTCTCCACTTGATGGTAACGTTCTTTCCCTCGGGAATGGAGGCCATATCTACTTCGGCCTTGGCCAAAGCCAAAACATCAGCAGATGCAGACATGTTGGCCAAGAAATCAGTGACAGTAGCTTGAGCACCAGCAGCTGAAATCAAGCCAGTGGTACCGATCATCATGTAGGTGAAAGCACGGCTGGCCTCACCACTGTTCTTTACCTTTTTGTACTTGGAGAAATCGGGAATAGAGGTGGTGTGGTTGAGACGTAATTGAAAATCGTTAATGGGTCCAACTAGAGATGTTCACATCTGAAGATTAATATCCACTTTCTAAATGTCTAAGATGTCTTTTTCTTTTTTTTTTTTTTTTTACCATTGACGTTGGTCTTGTTGACTAATCCACTAGCAGATCTTTGCTTGACAGAAGAGTTGAACAAGGGTTGGCTGCTGTGAGGTGCATGTTGTTCATCTTCGGAATTGCTGGATGAGAGAGCGAAAACTCTCTTTAATGCAGTTGCAGAGGCAGGTGCGTTTGTGTAAGAGCGATTAGCAATGGCAGACGCAAATGAGCGTGACAAGGAAGCCATCTTGAACTTGTATAAATTAAAAAAAAGAGAGAGTGGGGAGAGAAGAAGGGCTTCGTTAAAGTGAAAAACACAAAAAAAAAATGCGGGGATCTAGGATAGAAGAAAAAAGGCCCTTACCCTACCCTCGACAAACAATGTAATTTAATCATGGCGGCGACCTAACCCTCTGTTACTAGGACTGATGACGTACGACTGCACAAAAAGGCATGCTAGCTGCTCATTTCACTCTTTTCTCTGCTCTGTATGTGTCAAATTCAATGTCTGATGCATTTGTAGAAACTGACATGAGCCGCCGACATCTGGGCCATGTCTATATGCTTGGGATTTTTTTTTTGAATACAGAACGATGTTTTAAGCTTGGAACTCGGCTACTTGGACATGGATCTTGCTTTGTTTCTTTGGCACATGAAATTTTCAATCATCTTCCTGGTGCAGTTTATTCACTTCAATTTTGTATTTAAATTTGTAAAAAGAATAGTTGATAATGAAAAGCCAGATAGACAAATACAAGGAAGGTTGATTTGATATAAAAGAGAAGGAGAAAAATGTAGTAACTGTCAGTTAATGGCAAAGTAATGATTACGTACCTGAATATCTCTCCACACACCCTTTGCAGAAACATGGGATCGATCAAATGAACCCGTAATCTTAGGAGTGTCTAGCCGCTTAAGGACCAAAGAAACCATAAGATTTACAAATCCTCTAAAAGCAAAACCAGGAAAACGATCATACACCAATAGCAAAGACATAATGATAACATAGAACCCTGTAGAGTTATATGACGGCCTGTTTCCATTGTTACATGCAAGAGTAGCATGAAGAGAGATGCGAAGTAACCGACTGATAAAAGCCAAAAGTATAGATCTTGGAGACTTACAGAGCCACAGAGACCTGAGAAGACAACGAAAGGGAAAAAGACATCACTGGTTTAGAATAATCTTACGCTGGAGAGTCATGGCAAGGAAAAATCGTGTGGAAGACGGAGCAAGGCAGTAAAGATACCAAGCATTGACCCACAAAAACACCATGTATAGTGCCATGTGGATGCCACTGGTTTAAAATTTTCTTTTCGCAAGAATGACGGTAAAAGCTAGATTCATTGATATCTGGCAGGACATCTTTAGGCTTTTGCTACTTTGGCAGTTTCCAGTTGACTCTATGTATACAGTACAAGCGAGATGGTTACGCTAATTATGATTGCTTACGAAATGTTTATCCTAAGGCTTGCAGTACGTAGAGACATATACTACGCTGACTGCTGTGAATTCTTAATCTGCGATATTGCAATACTGGTCTGTAGTTTGGTATTGCCTTTTTGCATACAATGGTAGCGATAGTAATAGTCTTTCTCAAGAGATCGCATTCATTAGTTTTTAATAATGAAAATGCCGGCTTGTCTAAGTACCTTACTCCAGTAAGCTGCAGTATTTCATTGTATCTCCTTGTTTGATGGTGAGCCTAGAAGTCAATGGTTCATTAACATTGGAAGAAGACGTCCTTCAAGCGTAAGATTGTCTTTGTGGTCTTCTTGCTTGATATTTCCTACAGTTTCACAGTAAATGGAGTTGAAGAAAGCAAGAAAGACGCGTTATTCGCAACAGATCAAGCTTTTATTTGGAAATCTTTCTCAAGACACTCATCAATCGTTTGAATGTAACAAATGATTTGATATTTATGTACAAATGTACCTATATTAGTACCTTGAGGTGCATAAGCTTATGCTAAATAACTCTCGATGAACGTAAAAGATACAAAATTGCAACAAATAGTTAATTTTATATTTCAAATATTTTTTCAAACAAATCTACAGATTTCTAGTATTTTTGACAAGCAATGGTGTTCACTTGCTTTTGTGATGGCAACGTTGGCATTGCCGTAGGCGGGAATAGGGGCTCGAACTGACCTTCCACCATATTGGCGAATATTTGGCAGGGCACTGACTACAAGATTGAGATGCTTTGGGTGAGGATGCTGTAGATGATGAGGGAACGGAAATTAATGGTGACCGGGCGGCTCTTAAGCTAGATCCACCAGAGCTATCGCGTGATAGCAGCGTTGTTGGTGCTTCAATAATAACAGTGGCCGGTTGACTTGGAATAGGTGCAGGCAAAGCGTATAGTGGGATATCTGAATATCTTCGTTGTCTTTTTCTGGCATTATCAATGACAGGCGAGTCTCTTTCTTTACGTTTGCTGCCTCCACTATATGTTGCTGTGTTGGTGCTGGTGTTGATGTCACCGCTGGTACTTGGTCGCGCGGCACTGTTGGCACTTCTTGTTCCTGACGAGGTGGGCTTGTTCTCTGCATGCTTGAGCCAGTAGATACCACATTCGTCACACAACACGTTGCTAAAAGCCCTCTTTTTCTCGTTAAAATTTGATGCCGATCTTCTCCAAATGCTAGAGTGCTTTGTCAGACAATTTGAGCACTGATAAGGTTTTGTGGTGCACACTGATGCTGGTACAATGGTGGGGTCATTTTCGCTCTCCAAATCCTCACCGTCTTCATCCTGAAATCTTTTGCGTGGTTTGTGCACCTTTGTCCACTCTGAATACACTTGCTTGTATCTATCTGTCTTCTTCCATTGGTAAAAGTAGCGCACGATATCAGCCATGCCTTTTGTTCTGACAGAAGCCTTCACGTAGTTGAGATCGTGGCCATGTTTGCGGATGCTTTGCTCAAATTCTTCAATCTCCGTAGGCGTCCAATCCACACTATTCTTGAAATCGTCACCGTTCAGTTTTGCCATGTTCTCGTATGCCGTCTCCGTGTCATAGTTGCTCGCCTCCAATTCTTGCAGAGCTCTGTCTAGCAAATCAGAATTGTGCGATGCAAGAGGGATGTTGTCCAATTGCTTGACTCGATCCATGTATTCATCCACAGCAACTTCTTCCAGTCTACCAGGTCTGTAAATCACGCTTACAGTCTCGTCAGTTCCTCTTGCAGGGAACACGCGTTTATCGTCTGCGTTATTTGACATGGACAACAGTATTTGAGCTGCCATAGACTCTTGATAATTGTGGTCTTTGCTTGGTGCTTGGCTTTGAAGAATGGCCTCAAGATCCTCTCTTGCTTCTCTTTCCAGTATCGCGTTATCCTGCATGGCGCTTGAATGTCGCATTTCACTCTGCTCATGGGATGAGAATGGCGACAGTACCTCTGAGGCAATGAGAGCTGAATCAATTGATTCTTCAGTAACCAAGGGTGTTAATGATGGCGTGGATCCTGAATGACGAACATGTTGAGGGGATGGTATAAAGTCAGGCACTTGGGCCTGATATTGTGCTCCAATAAGGGGATTTGCACGGGGAAAGATATTATCATTGACATCTAGTAAAGCCATGTATAAGCGGTCAAAGCAAGCATTCATACAGTATTTTCTTCAATTTCTTACCCAGGATATCAGAGGCAGTTGTTTTATCATCAAAATAGCGAAACGGCCACATGTTGAGCATACGCATTGGTGGTGGTGCTGCTATAAAGTGGCTGAATTAGTAACGGCGATGTATACTACCAGCAACGAACAAGCTTACCTTGTGCATCCTTCTTATTGCTCGCAATATCCACGCTGGACACATTCTGACTGATTACAGAAGCTCCTCTCTTTTGGAATTGCTTCACACGAGATGGAGTAGCGCGCAAAGATCTAGGGCGTTGCAGGTCAGATAAGCTTTCGGAGGAGGAACTTGAACAAAAGCCACCACAACTGGAAGAGCTTGCAGAGCATGACTCGGCTGAAGGTAGGACCTTACGAGAGCAGAGAACACACTTCCAGGTATAGCCTTTAGATGGTTTGCGAGCTGAAGGAGTATTCAAGCAAGTCAAGTGACAGCTATTTGCACAAGCGACACATGGCACAGAGACAGCAGCACTAGAGGATACTCTATTATAGACGTTGCAAGACTTTCCTTTAGTAGGCACCAAACGCGCAGCCGTTTCTCGAGTTACTGCAACAAATTGATAACTTTCCTTGAGAGCTTGTAGAATGTCCAAAGGTATTTGCTGAATGGTGTCGCAAAGAACGAGATCGTAGAAGCGATCAAGATCACGGTTGTACATTTGGCGATAGTGATAGTGATTTTCTTGTCTCTTGTAGCTTGCGATATCCTGAATGTAGTGTTGATGAAGAACAGTACACTTGCCTTGGATATCTGTCACTGGATTGATGTCTGAATGCATAGTAGCTACTAAAAGACGATGATCTAAAGACTTGCGGTTGTTGATGTCCTTGAATCGAATGTACCACGCAATTCGAACACCCTGTCCTTGATGCTTGTGAGAGGCGCAGAACTCCATTACTCTGCCAATTCGATACTGCTCTCCTGCATTTTTCGGTGTCAGGTAAACATGATCTAGGTTTCAGATAATTTTCAATTAGAGTAGTTTTCACTTGCTTTTCAGTTACTTGGGTTACCATTAACGCAGACAGTACTTCCGTCGCCAAGTGTCACTTTTTTCGTCTTCTGCATTGCTAAAGCACTAGAATTGATTGATGTGAGTAACGGAAAAGAGGAAGAAAAGAGCAGAAAAGAGCAGAAAAGGAAATCGCCCTTTTAAAACCACTACAACACGCAACCTTCATGACAACTCTCTATGCCTCGTTTAACGCATAAATATATTTATTTCGCTTGTTCTTATTTACTATTAAATATATTCTGCTGATTCATAGTGATTCTTCCAAAAAGTGCGTAGTTTACTCGTGTTTACCATGTTTTCTCGTTTGCGCATGCTTCAATTTTGTTGATCAGTAGTGCACTGGCATGAATGAAGAGTTCAAGTGTTAGAGCAACGCATTCTATGAGCAACTAAGTCGAGTTTAGTCTAATGAAGAGCTAGATATTGGAGGCAAAAGTGTGCTTTCCTTAATAATCAATACATTAAACACACAAGCAATCATACATCAAAGCTCTCTGATTGTATCAAGATACCTTTGTTCATGCAAGCAAGCATTTCAGCAATAAAAAGCAAATACCATCTAAAGCTTGATACCATCATTTATACGATAGTTGACAAAACGTCTCTCAAAGTAATCGACAAAAAAAGTGAAAGGCATCGTTAGCTTTGGATGAATTTCGCACTTTGCGCAAGGATGATTGGAATCTTGGATGTCAATTTTTGTGTTTCAACGCTTGAGCAAAAGACCTTCAATTTTCAGAGAATGACTTTTACTTTCACTGTAGTTTACGCAGAAAGATGCCTCACTTCAGTATACAAGCAGCCACACGTAGGTGCTTACCTGACCCTCTAAGTCTATGTCTAAGTGGATTGTTGTTTATCCAAGGAGTAAACCACACGTTGTGATTTTATTCCTTCCGCAAGCAGTAATCGAAGCCAGGAGTAAGATCTTCCTCGTGTTGCATACCAAGTTTTCTTGAAAAAGGCAACCCAGTAGATTATATTCCCAATCCAAGACAGTCAGATCTACAGAAAGCTTGCCAAACTGTATCTTACTAAGTCAAATTGCTTTTTGTAAAGTCGAATTTTACACTTCCCATCAGGAGGCTTCGCATTTGGATGAGCCACTTGGACTGATGAATTCCACAGATAAAAGCCCCACAACGCAAGCAAACTAAATTATACAGAATAAACAATGTTACCTCTTTAAATCCTAATTCCCTTCTTATGGACCTCCAATAGTATTGATTACCTTCACAATTATAGCATGGCATCAATCCTGCCAACAAGCAGCCGCCAAAATTGGTTGACAGTTCGCTCGACATTCTGTCCTGATTTGTTGATTTTTGGACTTTTGAACCCGATCCGATCTATTTTGCCAGATTCGACTATAAAAAAATGTGCTGATCATCCTATACCTCCTTATGTGGGCGTGGTGGTAGGGCGAAGTGGCAGAACTCCCGTATGCCAACGGGAGGATCCCCGGTTCAAATCCTGGTGAACGCAAGTTGTTTGATTTTTTGACCTAGTACTGATGTCCTCGTTTGGTGTTTTGCGCTCTTAACCAGTATCTATATTTTGACGATTCGCATGGTTGTATTGGCTCTAGGTGTCGCACCTGATTAGTAGTAGATTTCTTTCCCAACTTGGTTCATTATATATCTTATTCCCCATCATTGCAGACATTGGGTCCACCAACAGTCTTTTCTTTCCCTCAGTATGACATTTTAAGGACTTTAAATAAAACCTGGAGCTCGACTCCCCTACAAAAAAATACCTCCTTATGCTTTCTTGAAGTACTTTTCAAGGCGCATCCAATGGTACCAAGTAATATAGATGTTTTGAATAAACTTATTGAGTAATTTATAAAACTATGAAAAGAGGTTTCTGGCCAAAATATCGAAATTTTACATATCAAAGTCCCACAAAGATGATTTCAGGGACTACGTTAGATCGATAGAAACATGTTGATTTAATATATACCATAGCAAAAGTCTTCATTATCAAGGTAAAAAATGCGATCGTTTGATTTTTGATGAAAACCATGAGGGGTACCTCATGCTTTTAGTCGAATTTTGTCCAAGTACTTTTGGTTCCCAAAAAATTGAACAAAGGTGTCAGAAAGTAACTGCCAGATGAGAGCGATTGTTTGGTGCTGTTCTGACCATCTAAAATGGCCTTGTATGCGAGAAAACGCGACTCAAATGCACTCATATTTTGCTGTATTAGGCACACTCTTGGCTAAAAAGGGATAATATATGTATGATACTTGCCCGTATATGAAGTAGCTACGTGTATATGAATGTAGAGCATCACATAAGGATCAGATTCGAAGGAAATATGAAGGGTTTTCATGAGTAAATGGAGGTTCAACATGAGAGCAGTAGTATTATAATAGGATATGCAAGAGCAATCGGTAACACGAGCTGTCGCTGCACAGGTTGGTTCTCACCGAAGCATAAACACTTGTATGCAATAAAGCACCTGAATTGCTCACAATCTCGACATTTACTGGGTTGCGGCGTGCATCTATCATTCCCTTTCACATGTACGTATTCATACTTAACAGTCTCTTTTCATTGATCATCTATAAATGATACAACTTGTTTTCCTTGGCGACATCAAAATGCTGTCAGAAAGAACATGATAATTGTTGCATACAAGCATGCATCTTAGGCTACATTCACTTTCTCCTCAAGCCACCTTTTACAGTGTAGCAGCATAGATGATGTTTATCGTATCACATCACATCTATGTTTACAAGTCCAGTCAATTGTGTGTGCACAGGTGCCTCAGGAACTACAATACATTCAATCTCCCCAATGTCAAGATATCGAGATCCACCTACACTACATGAAACATATCGACTTAGGTGGCCTCTCAACAAGCTATACCAACAATCCATAAGGCCCCAGTGGCCTGCTATTTATATACCATCTCAACGTAGTAGTCATTGACCAGGGATCTACCATATTTAAGCAGGCTAGATGCCCTGTAATAAAGAAGCTTTTTGCTTTCGTTTTAGATACAGTTGACAACTGATTATTATCATCGACTTATTATTACGAATTTATCAATAATGCAGAACTTTTGGCCCAATGTGTTCTTTATGTCCCTTAAGCAAATCAATAAAAATTTGACAATAGCATCGCCGTACATGCAATCAATATAAAACTAGATGCTTTATACAAATAATTGGAAGAAGAGTATCATAAAAGTATACCTACATGCAGGTATATTTCATGCAAGTCCATGATCTGCCGTTACTAATCCCATTTATTGGAATCTGAACCATTAAAGATGTTTCAAGAATTCTCTCAGGAGTAGGATATGGATGCATAACGAAGAATATAAATGAAAGATGGCGTCAATTGATGACCAACGATGATGGAATTTTTGTCAATTCTATGTATCAGATTGTCATCTCATATACTACCGTTGATTTGGAAAAAAGAAGAAAATGTCAAACCTCGGCTTACTTAAAAAAAAAAAAAACCACTAGACTCAAAGATAAATATGAAAGAATAGAAGAGTAAATCCATCTTTCCATAGCGCACTGGCATCGAAAATCTAGCTAATCGGTTCATGCACATTGGAGTGCATAGGAGACCCTTAGAATGGGTGATTTCATGTACACTGCTTTAAGCCAAGAAGGAAGCTTTCACTTTTATCTACAAGGTGCGTCATGAAGGACACTGTATGTATCTTTTACTATAAATATGCCTTGCATTTTGTGAATGTAAATCAAACATGTCAATTGCATCCATCTATGGCAACTTCATGTCACTAGCATGTACAATAATATGCCCTTGAAATTTTTTGATGATTGTTTATTTTTATACACAAGTCTGCATCGGTTGATGAAGAATGTGCAACTCATCCCATTATTTCAAAGTCCTCGCTCTCTTACATGAGTCGTGATTGTTTGCTGCTACCATATGTTTGTTATTGTATGCAACATGCTATAATAGGATCAGCGTTTTTTCAAGAAACAATTGAAGGATCATCACTGTACGACGCTCCTCTTGACTCTATTTCCTATTTACCTAATATTATTGAAACAAATCATCATCGCTTGAGAATAGGTTGTTCGCAGAAAACCAATGCACTGACGATGGCAATCGGATATCTAATATTCTGTAGAACATTTGATGCAATGAATCATCTCACGCTGTATAGTACATCAATTGATCCACCAATCAATCATATTCGATACAATCACCCACTTGAATTTTCCATGTACGATACAAACCAAATCGAAACGAAACGACACGATGATGTAAAGCTGCACATTTTAGAGCTTTTTTTACATGAACAATTGCGAAAATCTAGACTTTTTGGTCAGGAGTAAAAAATAAAAAGGATTTGAGGAGACAACTCAATATTTCTGCTGGGAGCGTCCTTTTCCTTTTTCTTTACAGCAACTATGCTGCTAATTTGTTTTCGGAATTAAGCAATCGTAAATTACAAGGTAGAAATGGTTTAATTGACACGTTTTACGTTAAATATCGCACTTTTTCTGTAGAAAATACGCTAAAAAGCGTTACTATTGTGTTACCACGGAGTTTCTGTAATACAGAAAAAGATCTTTGAAGCGAAATCTTTTTCAGGGAGCAGCATTTGCTTGATAGAGAGACCATCATGACTCATGTGAGGTTTGGATTTTAGTAGATGGATAGACAGACGACACACTTTTATGTATAACTGAGATAGTATAGCAATTTCTGCAATGAATTTACCATCCACAAAGTCCGAAACTTTAGAAACGGTACCTTTTGAAAGAAGGGGATCATCCGACATTGGGCCAAAAAATAACAAGCAGAACCCACGAGAATCTACACCAAAAAGGACAAGACTGCAAGCGCGCTTATAATGGAGGATTTATAAATAAAATAATGGCCATTTATAGCTGTCTGTCTTACATTTTATATTGCTAGACGATCACCTTTTTTTCCTCACATTTGATCGCCTTTAAATTTGACTTGCGGCTCACAAGTTTCTTTTCATCTTCTTTTATAACCCTTCTTCCTTCTTCTTATTCATTTTCTTTAATTTGACCGATATACATTTCTCCACTCCTTTAATAAAACACCATGGCAGCACCAAATACATTAGCAACATCTGCCTCCACCACCAAGCTGCCCTCGATCCAATCCATGTTGGAAGGCATCTCATTGAATGACGAGCGTCAACAGGCTGCTGCTGATACAAGATCTTTGAGTCACCGTAGGCATTTATCTGAACATAGTGCATTCACATTGGTACAAAAGAACAAAGCACCTCCACTTGAACCCAAAATTGAGCATATACCCAACTTGACAAAAGTACCAACAACTAGTACAATATCAGCATCTCCTCCTGATAGTACTTTGTCATCGACTTACTATTCTCGAATCGCTCATCTTCAGCATTCTCATCCACATCACCTTCACCGTCATCCTCATCACCATCATCCTCAGCAACATTCCCCTCGTAATCTTCATTCCCGTTCCTTTTCAGATTATACCCACCCTTATCCTACCTGCTCGCCTCCTCGTACAACAGGCGCTCATTTGGCTCCATTGCAACATCGCCGTGCTGTATCTACAAATACATTGGATCTTATCCTCCAGCCATTAATGCAAAGACCCCTTGATATCGCTCCTCCATTGATGTATTCATCTTCATCTACATCGTCCATCACAACAAACAGTGTACCCGACGATAATTATGAAGACTATCATTCAGATGAAACAACTCATAGTGAGCGGTCTGTGTCTCCCACTCCTGCCACTACTGCTACTACAAAATCAAGTACCACTGGCGGCAAGACTGAAAACAAGTATAGCTGTCCCTATTGTAGCAAAGGATTCTCTCGTCCATCTTCGCTCAGAATTCATACCTACTCTCATACAGGAGAAAGGCCATTTGAGTGTCCTGAAGCAGGTTGTTCTCGTAAATTCAGCGTTCAAAGTAACATGAGGCGCCATTTAAGGGTCCATCGTTTAGGCAGACCATTGAAGCGTAATGGTGGGCTCATCTCTCCGGCAGACCGAGCACATCTTATTAACAAACCTCTGGCTGCCAAGCCAACAGCCTCTACATCTTCAAATTGGATTGGTGTTACAGTGTACCCTTCTTAGTGTGTTGATATTTTGTTATTACTATTCATCTATATATTTATTCCAATAAAAAAAATATTATATTCTACCATGACATACCCTGATCATGAGCTTCTCCATTTCTATTACGATGACTTGTACGATGCAGCATATGAGTATCATACACCAGGAGAAGCCATCCACAAACGATAATTCCAGCCAAGAAGATATGCCTAAAAGTCAGTTAAACATGGTGAATAGAAGGGTTACACACTGAGCGGGTCACCATGTTATCATCTGTTTGTACCTGGTGCGTAGATTCCACCCAAAAGACAGGAGAATGATACAATGAAGGCTGCTATCATCCATCGATTACCGCATAAACCAGCGACAAATACAGACTGCAATACAGATCTTGATAGGAATGAGTGTAATAATTGCAATGTCGTTAATGTTGCAAAAGCCTGTGTGATGAGAATTAAGGAGTTCAATATATTTGCCAATCTTTAGAGAAACGTAGCACATGGAGATGAACACTTGCCAATGATTGCGCGGATGCGAGACTGTAATGAAAGCACTTGATTGAAATCACGTACACGGTAACCGTTAACACTGCAATCAACATGGACTGGATAAAGATGATCAGCCATGTCACTCTTGTCAAAACGCCTTGATTGGGGCTGCGTGGTTTCCTCTTCATCAACCCGACCTCTGCCGGCTCCATACCTAATGCCATGGCGGGTGGGATATCTGCAATGATATTTGCAAACAAAATCATCATTACTGTCAGTGGTGTTTCTAAATTGGCTATAGCACAAATCAGCATAAGGAAGATCTCTGCTCCATTGCAACTCAAGAGATAGACGATGAACTTGAGGATGTTATCAAACACATGTCTGCCTTCTTCCACTGCTTCAATAATGGTAGAAAAGTTATCATCGAGCAAAACAAGGTCGGCTGCTTGTTTTGTGATTTCTGTACCAGCTTCTCCACCCATTGCAACACCAACATCAGCACATTTGATAGCAGGCGCATCTACGTTCAACTTGTGTGTTTAGAGCTATCTCACAAGGGAAGAAAGCAGATGACTCACCATTCACACCATCTCCTGTCATGGCAACTAACTCTCCTCGTTGTTGCAATGCTTGTACAATCTTGAGCTTGTTATCTGGACTCACTCTTGCAAATACACAGGGAAATGGATCCAAAGCAATGATGGCATCCTGTGAGAGTAAATCGAGCTCCTGCCCCAGAATCGCTCGGTTCTATGATCAACAGAGATTAGAACTTGAACAACATTCCGTAACAGCTCTAAAACCTTATCGAGGTGGTTGGGATCGAATATACCCAGTTGTGTTGCGATGGCAGTTGCCGTTTTAACATGGTCTCCTGTTATCATCTTGACGCTGATGCCTGCCTCTTGACACGTAACAATAGCTTCCTTCACTCCATCTTTTGGTGGATCGATCAGTCCAATCAGTCCAATAAATATCAAATCATTCTCAGAGTAGTTTTCGTCAGGGCAACACCGTTTGAACGCAAGGCCGAGGACACGCAATCCTTGGCTGGCCATACGAGAGCTTTCTTGTGATACTCTCTCGCTGAAACCGTCCTCCACCTCCTCGCCATCGTCCTGCAAAAGCTGGTTGCTGTTTCCATAATACTTGCATTTCCTCAGTAGCTCTTCAGGGGCTCCTTTGCAAAGCATGATATGTTGATCCTCATGTTGATACACGACGCTCATTAATTTACGTTCCGAGTCAAATGCCTGTTCATGTATACGCTGATAGCCATGCTCTGATTCCCAGTAACTTTTACCTAGTCTGGCCTTTTGAGATGCAACGACAAGTGCTATTTCCGTGGGGTCACCTACAGTCTTCCACTCTTTTGTAATGGCGTTCATAGCAATTGATGCGTTGTTGCACAGAGACGTAATCATGAGTGCTTGCTGTAGATGGGATGGATAGTTTTCTTTGTGGTTTGTGTCTAGTGGTATCATGGCTGCATGTTGAGGGTAGGTTTTCGGGATGTGAGGAGATGGGTATACTACTGTTGTCTCGGTAGCCAGTGTATTGATGCTCTCGTTGGTGAGTATCTTGGGGTTGATGTCTTCTGAGCTGCTGTTTACAAGTGTGGAGACTGATGAATTTGTCGAGGAACTACTGACACTGTGCAAAATAGAGCCTTTTTCAGGGTCCAGCGAGGTTGAATCAGTAAATTCGTATAAAACGTCATCGCTTGTCCATAGCTTTGACACTCCCATTTTGCCTTCAGTCAATGTTCCTGTCTAAAGACTTGTTAATACAAGTTTCTTGTCATAAAAAAAAAACTCAAAGTACCTTATCCGAGCAAATAACTGTGACACTGCCCAAAGACTCTACTGCTGGTAACGTTCTCACAATGCAATGACTAAGAGTCTATTAGATAAAGCGTTACCAAAGCAAAACAACTTACTTTGCTGCCATACGACGAACACCAAGCGCCATTGTAACAGTGGTTACAGCAACTAAACCCTCAGGGATAACCGAAACAGCCAAACTAGATATGCTTATCAATATCTGGCAGACTTGACTAACAAAACAAGTGTACATCTCACCTCAGCCCCACATTCAACATGTGCTTGATATCCTTCTTCCAAGCCAACCCTATAGCTACTACCAACAGACATAACACAATCGACAAGAGCACCAGCTGCTTTCCTAATCTGTCTAGTTTCATCTGTATCGGTGTCTTTGATTTATGAAGTGAACCTTGCTGGATAGCTGCACTTATCCTGCCAATCTATTATTCACCTGATAAGTACCCTTAAAATCGAAAGCCAAAGCTCACTTACTTCAGTATCTTGGCCTATCCGTACAACGATACCGACAGCTCTCCCGCGAGCAACTGTAGTCGACATGAACGTATTTCCTTTACAATCGCCTATTGGGATACGTCGCGTCTAAACATAGGGTGTTTAGCTTGCATGATAACAAGCATGGCTATAAACGAGCATTTACCCTTGCTTTAATGGCACTATTGCTCTTCATCACAGGTAAGCTTTCTCCAGTCAAGATGCTCTCCACCACTTGCAGTTGCGAAACATCGACCAAACGTAGATCAGCAGGCACAGCATCACCTTCTTCCAAAACCACCACATCACCAGGGACCAGATCTTGCGATGCAATCAAGTCTTGTTTTCCATCACGGATGACTCTAGCCTACATACGTATTTCGTTGTAAATGAAGGAATTTAGCTTGGGTACTACCAAATGCTTACCTTGGGAACTGCTAAATTCATCAAAGCATTTAAAGTCTTGCTTGCTTTCCATTCCTGGCTGAATCCAATGATGGTATTAAGGACAATGACAGCAATCAGCACTGACATGCTATTGAAATCTTTCTCTGCGGCCTCCACTATTGCTGCTACGAGTAGAATGACTACCATGAAATCAGTCAACTGATACCAAAGCATCTTGAGTGCACTTGGTTTGGGTGGATCAGGTAACTGATTGTACCCGTAATGTTTATGAAGAGATTCAATAGCTGTCGATGAGAGTCCAGTGTCTGGTCGACTGCTGGGATACATCCGCATTAGCTTACCAACCGATCTATCAAAATAGAGGGCTTGAGGAGGCAGCAACAGAGCAGGCGAAGAATAAGCTGTGTCTTTTGTGGCCGCAGGTTGTTTCTCCATTAACTCCTTCATGACATCTTGCTCATCCTTCTTGATCAGATCTTTCCAGTCATAGGCACCTCCATAATTGCTGCTTGTCAGTAATTGAACCATGGTAACAGCACCGTTTTTTTGCTCCGGCGTGGACCACGATTGACATCTGTAATGTATCTTGAGTCGATCCCTCAGTTCAAATACAGGTATTTGAAGAGCTACTGTGCGACATTCCTCCACTTGCTGCAAAAAATCGATCATCAAGAAAAAGGCCATATCTGCCTCGGCGGTGCTGCGTTTCCGAATCAGTTGACCCTCTGTTCGGCCTGTATTTAGCAGTAAACCTTTCAGCAAACGTTGCATCAATTCCACATCCAAGTGCGGGTGTTGACCGCCTTTGATGCGAAAATCCATCAGATAGCGGAGTCCTTCCAACGTGTCTAGAAGGAGGCCACTATCTTTCTTGACATCAAACAGATCATGAATATAGACTTCAATTTGGTGTTCAATAGAAAGACGGCCGTCAATTTCGATTTCCAGAGATTGCTGTTTTTGATTGTCTTGACCACTGGATGCCATCTTTCAGATGAGATAAAAGAAAGACAAGTGGATTGTAATGTCAACTTTCTGGAAAAGTTTAATTTACACTACTAGAGTTCTCGGAAGTTTTCAATGTTGTTGATTTTAAGCACCCAAAGAGGTTGTCCATGTAGCATGGCTGTGATATGAATTGTTTGTTTACGTTGAACCTTATAGCTGCGTCCATATGGTTGACTGTGGCGTATGCGTTTCATACAAATGATCAATACAGAAGAAAAAAGTGCACACCGGTTAATTCCATGCAAGTATCATATGCATATGCATATTGAATGGATATAGGTGACGTGAGCTAATTATGGCCCTATGCTGCTTCATGATGGCGGAATGCAATGGCGTATAACAAGCAAAACAAGAAGGTTTACAAATACAGCAGGAACAGCACGATAATAGTCATATTTGACGAAAGCAGCTACAGTGTAATGAACCATGTTATCCTTGTAGAGATGTTATGTTTTATTCACATACAACATCCCATTACGGATCAGCAACGTGCACTACGACTTTACCAAAATCACTGCCTTGTAACACCTCTACGAGCGCGTCACTGAAACTCTCAATGCCATTAAAGATGCTTTCCTTGTACTTTACTGTGCCATTGACAAGCCAGGGAGTGACCTGCTTCAAGAAAGCGTCTTCAAGATCCAAATGTTCCACTACCAAAAACCATCAAACTTGATTCTCTTGGTCACGATGTACATGGTGTTATACAGAGGTGTAGGTGTTGAAAGGCTGTATTGCGAGCTCATACCACAGGCAATGATGCGAGCAAACTTATTTGCCACTTTTAATACAGCATCTAGCATTTTACCGCCTACGCTTTCGAAATAGATATCGATACCGTCAAGGCAGTGGACCTTTAGATTCTCCAGGATATCGCCCTCCCTGTAGTTAAAAACCGCATCAAAGCCAACAGATTTGAGGTATTGAATCTTTTCTTCACTACCAGCAGAACCGACGACTTTCAAACCAAAAGCCTTGCCTAGCTGACCAACCATTTGACCCACTGGACTTGCAGCCGAAGAGACACACAACACCTCTCCCTTCTTGGGTTGACCGATTTCAGTTAATCCATACCAAGCAGTGAACCCTGGCATACCGAGGGCACCGACATAGTTGCTTAAAGGAAGCGCATTGGATTTAGCCTCGTTGCGTACCACGTAGGCTTCCTTTGCATAGTCTGCGCTGACTTGCACATAACTTTCCAGCAGACCAAATGTACTACGACCCACAACGATGTCATCTACCTTGTAGTTGGGATTGTTTGACTTGACAACTATAGACACAGTGTCGCCTGTCATGGGTTTGTTGATATCAAAAGCAGCGTTCTATGATGAGCTTTTAGGATCTCTCATGCGGCCGCGCAAGTAAGAGTCAACAGCGATTTCTAGTGTCTTTAGGATAAAATCGCCATCGGGCAATGCAGCATCGATATCTAGAGCTGTCTCTTTGACTTGGATGTGCTCACCATTGATAGGACGGCCATTAGGGATCTTTGAGAAAATGAGTTGCTTGTTCGTAACCATGCTGTTTAGGTGAAAATGTATTGAGTGGACTCAAAATTAAATGCGCTGCTTTATTTATATATTTAAAACTTGAAAGTTTGCATTAAACAGCAAGACGGTCGTAGAACATTTAGCACAAACTAAAACTTCCCTATTAACCTACCATCATCACATGAGAAACCTTCAAAATCGAACTGCAAATGTTGACCGAACTCTTCTTTGGATGCTGTATGTTTATAGCAATAAGAGAAAATCATGCACAAGCTGACAGTATACTTCCATTGTCCCTTACTACTCGAAATTATGCCAAACACAGCAAAATTTGAGTACGTTTGAGCAGTAATTTCTCGCGTTTCAAGCCGTTTTAGACCGTCAGATTAGCACCAAGCACCTTCTCTCATCTAAGACTTGCTTCCTGGCACCTTTGCCCAACTTTTTTGAGATCGCCAAAAATCGACCAAAAACCATGAGGGATACCTCATGGTCTACAGTGCTCAACAGTTTGGTCTTGTCCAAATGCTGGTATGTACTACGAGTAACTCCGTTTGCTCAAAGCAATGTCCAAGCTATCCGGTCCATTTGTACCAAGTTTCTACGAAAAGGCATATTTCCTGTTATCCCCTGGGCCACATGGACCAAGCCAAAGCCATTAGGTGGATTAGGTGTTCTGGATGTTGCCCTACAACAATCAGCCCTATACTTTCGTTGGGTTCAACCGCTCCTCCATCCCTCTGACTCGCCCCACATCCTAGATCTCTTGCTGGTCATGCTAGTGAATAAGCAAAATCAGAGTGCGCATGAGCAGGTTCCGTTGCTTTTTCCCCTCACACGAACCACTGGTCTCACTAAACAACGCACCAACACGGTAACAATGATCTACAAATCAGTTGACTGCCTCAAACGCATCAATGAACCAGTTCACCTCAACATCGCTACCGCCTTAATCCTACCTGCCAAAGCCATTCTGCGGCCGTCTGCCACTGTCTCCAAATCGTACAACACTGCTCACATGGTCGTACTGGTAACACTTGGCAACATTTGGCGAGCTCAAGTTCGTGTGATCTTTCACTCCACTCCATTTACATGGATCGATGTGGTCCAGCAGATCAAGAACAGGCTCCTTCAACTACATGCCCAAACTGAAATTCACAAACAATTGTAATTCTCTAATCACAATTGACATCTATCATCTGTTCCTGTCATCTATCGCTTTATCCTAAATATAATTGAATATCATATCAATTGCGCCCGCCTCTTGGTAGTGCCCTAAGGACCTACTTACACGGAGCAATCAATAAAAACAATTTAAAAAAAGTACCTCATGGTTTTCATCAAAAATCAAACGATCGCGTTTTCGACCCCAAAAATGAAGATTTTTACTAAGGCATATATAAATTCAAAATGTCTTTCTCGATCCAAAGCAGCCTCTGAAACTTTGTTTTCGAGACCTTTATATGGAAAATCGCAACTTTTTTGCCAAAAACCTCTTTTCATATTTTCATAAATTACTCAATAAGTTTATTAAAAACATTTACTTTACTTGGCACCATTGGATGCGCCTTAAAAAGTGCCCCAAGAAAGCTTAAGGAAGTATGGAAAGATCATCAACATCTATATAGTCAAACCTGACAAAACAGATCAAATAAATTGATTTTCTTCAATTTTGACCAATCTAACGCAAAAACAAAGTCGAAATTTAAATAAATTTGGCTGGCAAAATACCCTTTTCATAAAGGCAATCGATGTTTCTAAAACTACCAAGAAGGGAATAACGAATTGAGAGATATAGTCGCTTAGCACAATTACACTTCGCTGCTTTTATGAAAAGAATGAATATTTGATTGGTTTGGTAGTTGTAAAATGCTCATTTGAATGCAAAACCCAAAGATGAAACGATTCTTTTTCAATTCTGTTTATTGATTGCGTCGCGTACATAAAGAGCGATAGGTCAGTGTGAAGAGATGGGCTTAATTAATGTAAGATATAATGAAGCAATAGACTATACTAAACTATGCGAATACTACTAAATAGATGGACTACAGGAGGGATTGGCACTGATCCTCATTAATGATCTGACGAGCATTGTTTCGGGTGCTGGCCAATATCGCTGTGTGGTCAATGGGAAGCTTATAGTAGATAAAGCGCATATGTGCCGGCCATAACTGCGAGAATGTAATGATGAGGATTCTGTATGGTTTGTTCCTTTGAGTTAGCAGTATCAAGCATTGGAAAAATCCAGGGACAGAAGAGCATTTTTGATATCTCAGACTGTAGTCGTTAGCCAGAGAAACTCAAAAATGACACCCTGCCAAGTTTTCTTTTTGGAGGGACAATGAAAGAGGAATTGGCTAGGGAAATCCTCCACAGGCAGACAGGCAGGGCTCAAAGGTGATTCGAAAATTGTGGGCATAAAGATGGAATGAAAACTTTTTTGAACATCTTCGAAAAGTTGCAAATATACCTCACATGTTAAATAAACGATAAAGAATCTGATAAAAAACTAGTGTACAATTAATAATAACATGACAATTGTTCAGTCCTTAGACACTTTTACAACCCTAGTATGGAAACTGGGTTGCCAGGCATTTGTCAGGCATGGTTTATATATAAGGATTAGAGATTTTATATTAAATTACTATCAATCAACAATCAAGTTTCTTCTAACATTTTAGTCATTATTAATTTTGCAAAGAAAACAGCATGGAGAAAAGCAGTACTACGTAATTTGTCATCTACTTTCCATACGCTTCAAAAGCATCTATTACTGTATTGCCTTCATGACTGAAAGGGCATTAAGTTGCCAGCCGACCCCACCAGCCAAAATTAATTCAAGCCCAGACGCATCGTCTCTTCTAGATTGGCCAAATCTTGATAGTTTTGGACTCGATCGAACTATTTTAGCAGATTCGACTATGCAAAATATGATTATCATCTTATGCTCCTCTAAGCGTCCCTGGTGGTAGGGCGAAGTGGTAAAACTCCCGTATGCCAACGGGAGGATCCCGGTTCAAATCCTGGTGAACGCAAGTTGTTTGATTTTTTTGACGTAGTACTGATGTCCTCGTTTGGTGTTTTGTGCTCTTATCCATGATCTATATTTTGACGATTTTCCGCAAGACTGTACTGGCTCTAGGAGTCGCACCTTATTAGTAGTAGATTTCTTTCCCAACTTAGTTCAAAAAATATCTTATTCCCCTTCATTGCAGACATTGGGTCCACCAACAGTCTTTTCTATCCCTCAGCATGACATTTAAAGGACTTTAAATAAAACCTGGAGCTCGACTCCCCTACAAAAAAAAAAAAAAAAAATGCTCCTCTAAGCTATCTTGGAGTGCTTTTCAACGCGCATCCAATGATATCCAGTAAGATAGATGTTTTGAATAAACTCATCGAGTAATTTATAAAACTATGAAAAGAGGTTTCTGGCCAAAATGTCGAAATTTTACATATCAAAGTTCCACAGAGGCGATTTTAAGGGCTACGTTAGATCGATAGAAACATTCTGATTTAATATATACCATAGTAAAAGTCTTCATTAACAAGGTCGAAAACACGATTGTTTGATTTTCGATGAAAATCATGAGGGGTACCTCATGCTTTTTGGTCGAATTTTGGCCATGTTTTTTTGGTCCCCAAAAAGTTGAGCAATAGTGTCAGCAAGTAACTGCCAGATGAGAGTAATTGCTTGGTGCTGTTCTTACCATCTAAAGCGGCCATGTAAGCAAGAAAACACGGCTTCAATGCACTCAGATTTTACTGCATCAGGGACACTAAGGAATAAAAAGGGGAAATACTAGTATGCTGCTTGCCCATATATGAAGTGGCTACGTGTCCATGGGTGTAGAGCATCACATAAAAATCAGATTCACAGATAGTATGAAGGGATTTCATGTTTAAGTGGAGGGTCAAAATAAAAGTGGCAATATTTTGATAAGATAAGCAAACGGCAATCGGTAGCGCGAGCTGTCGCTGCGTAGATTGGTTCTCACCGAAGCGAAGCGAAGTTAGAGAGCTATTCGAAGCATAAACACTCGTATACTATAAAAAAAAAAAACGTCTGATATTTTCTAAAACTGACTTTATTAGAGATATTAATTGGTAAAAACGGACGCGCTCTACTATTGAAGCTAGGAAGAATAGAGAGGAGGCGGGCCACTGGCGGTAGTAGCTGCAATTGCTGGAGCAGTGATGCGAAGAGCTTTTTTGAGTGCATTGTAAGTGGCTGTATTTTTATGGCAAGATGGACACCCATGACTTGTATGCATGAACCAAACCACAAGCCAAACAGATATCGTAACCAAACAGTCTACCAAATAAGACACATCAAGAGGCAAAAAGAAATGGACCAAGATAAAGATCAAAAACATATAAGAAAGGTCTGCACTTGATTTTAGTGTAGACATGATCCAGGCAGTGAGGGCATTGTATGAAGGCTGATTGATTCTTTAGCTGAGATAGAGGCACAGGCTGAGGATGTGCCATAGCGACTTCAATGTGCTCCGGGAAGGTACTATAACCTGCATTTGTAGTCAAAGGCTTACGTGGCTTATTGTTATCAGTTTCAGAGCAATTGTTGATAGTCATTTACAAATAGAATATGAATAAAAAGAAAAAAAGTAAATCCGTAGGCTAAGCAGTGATATCACCTTGAAGTTACATTCGTGCGACATACCCTTTGGGATTGTGAGATGCAGACATGAAAGCTGTAATTGTCATACGGTTTGGCATGGATTGTCAAGCGCATTGTTTATTTTCATGATTGTGAAGCCTGTTGCGAAAGTACTGTCGACACAATTCTGATAGATTAAAGCAACCAATTTTGAAAATTCGATATTTATGAATAGAGCAGCAACCAAGCTAATTGCCTTGGAATACAAAGTTTGTATTAGCCACAACACACAGTCAAGACATTACATTTGCGCAAAAATGGGAGCATTAGGTACTCCCTTTAGCACGTTTAGGGCCAATATTGTCTATGAAACTTATGGACCAATATACAGTAGATACAATCAACTTGATTCTCTTCGTTTCTTGTGTCAGTCCCATTAGTAAAGCTAAATAACAAGAAAAAATTATAAGAGCGTTTTCTCTTTATGATTTGTATTCAGTGTACGTCGATCCGAGTTCAAGTCGCCCTGGAATATCAATACTTTACTCTTTCATGTGATTTAATTCTGTTTGTATAGTGCAAATGGGTGATCTTTTTAAACGGTCCACCTGTTGTACGAATACACATGAAATACAAACATTTTGGTAAAGAGATGATACATAGAAAACCGATATGCAACCATCGCATGCTTATTCCAGCAATAAATTAAGCTAAAAGATCGAGATACAAATCTCGATATCGTACGTATGGATGCACAGATGAATAAAATGCTTTTTTTTTACTGTTATTATATTCATCTAGAGATGGCTTGGTCTTGCAAATGATGAGCTCTATTATATTAGATAGCTTTCATGTATTTAGCAGTGCTTGGCTATAGAGAGACGGAAGGGAGAAATTAGGTCGAATGAGCATGCATGTGTTGTTGTATTAGCGTGTGAGTGAGATAGACCTTTTTGCGTGTAATAAATGGGGATAGAGATATTGCAAAAGCGGGGGAGAGATTAAGTTGGGAGAGAGAGAGAGAGAAAAGAAAGGTATACTATAGTGCTTTAATCGTCCATATAACGTCTTGGTGATAAACGAAAGACTATGACTATACCATCATCTGTGCTGCTTGCAATGGCTTCCACAGGTTCAGAAAGGCCCTTTTCACGATCCATGAGCCAGTCGAATCGAAGTCGCACCACCATGTCATGTTCTTTTGATAAATCTATTTGGGATGTGAGCGAAGGCGCATCTTTTTCTGCAACGTATTGATATAGCGATGTGCCAATAGCCTTTGCTGTGTCTAATGATACAAGTTCTGTTGCTAATGCTGATGCGAAAACGATATTCAATGCCTCTGAGAATCTATTTAAAATGAGACAAAATCGACGTTCTCGAGATAATGCGAGCTGGTTATTTTTCCACAGCGTTTCCATGTCGAGTGCATTGTTGAAAAGCTCTTGTCGATCGTTCCAAGCGCCTGCCAGTTGAAGATTGCCATCTGGTAAGCACACAAACACCTCATCCACCGAGTTGGCTCGTATTTTGTGATCCAATGAGTCTTCATCGTACAAAAAGTTGGAGCCTATCAAGACATCATGACAGTAGTGAAGAATGGTTTCTACTCGCACAAACGACCCGTCTTTTGCCATGATACGATACGACACCATGGATGACATTTTCTCGTTATAGACGTTTGCTAGATGCACTTTTCGTAAACTGTTGTGGTCTCCAGGATAAAATAGATCGTAGCCCTCTCTTCCAATGATGTCTTCTGGCTCCCAGCCGAGATGATCAGTGATGCTTTCAGAGACGTATATCAGCCTTGCCTCTCTTGTATTGTCCCATATAGTGATCCAATTGTTCTTCATTAGCTGTATATATATAGTAGGCAGACAGCAAAATAAACTGCATGAGCACACACTAGAAAAAAGAGCGAAAAAGAACGGAAAAAGAATATTTGTGCTAGGAGGGGCTCCCTTTTATATCCAAATCTTCTTCCCTCTCTTTGGACTGTATTCTCGCCAATCCTATCGGCCGGTTTGATTTTTCGTCTATCATGTTCCATGATGTGGTGACCCTCATAATAAGTTATATTTGTACATGGTTACCGCCCCATTGGTTTGATAGCTAGCTAGCCTAATTTGCTCTTTGTTGCTCGCTTTAGATTTTCGAGAGGTAAAAAAAAAAAAAAAAAAAAAAAAAAAAAAAAAAAGTTTATTTCATTAAATTTGTACGGATTGCCTAAAAAAAGCATCACCCGTCTACTACGTTAATCTTCGAGTCGCTGCAATGGCCATTGATAATTTTCATGGGCCAATCGCTCCACCCCATATCGCTTTACAAAGTCGTCCAAGCTGTTTGGTCCTCTGGATCCATATGCATAAGGTTCAGGCTTGATCTTATCATGCTCGATTTGATGCAGCAAGGGTGTAAAGATACGCCAGGCAGCCCCCAATTCATCATCGCGCACGAAATTAGAGTGATCTCCGCGCATTACATCCAAGATAAGTGTCTCGTAAGCTTCAGGGATATTCAGATTCTTGTACCGGTTCTTGTATGTAAGGTCCAGTTCCGTAATCATGGTTTCGTCGGGGAAACCAGGCGATTTATTGTTGAACTTCATGTACATGGCTTCTCCAGGCTGAAGACGGAACACCAGCTCGTTGCGAGGCACCTTGCAAAAGAGACTACCAGGCAGCTTCTTGAACTGAATGCGAATATCGACCTTGGCATTGTCCAGGGCCTTGCCTGCTTTGAGGATAAATGGCACATTAGCCCAACGTTCGTTGTCCACCCAAAGTACAAGAGCAGCAAATGTTGCACACAAACTATCTTTAGGTACGCTTTCATCGTCGAGATACCCAGGTTTATTTCCGTTCTTGACATACTGTCCCAAGAGAGAATCTTCCAATGTAATTGGTTTGACACAACGCAGGACCTTGACCTTTTCATCACGGATGGCCTCGGCATCACGCGAGATGGGGCGTTCCATAGCCACTAGTGACAAGAGCTGCAGCAAGTCTATTCAGCAACATCATCAATATAAATCAAGACCGTATATATATATAAAAAAAAACGACTTACGGTTTTGCATTACATCACGAATGATACCAAACTCGTTAAAGTAACCACCACGACCTTCAGTGCCAAATGGTTCCTTGAGTGTGATTTGGACCGAGTCAATATGCGTCGCTGTCCACAAAGGACTAAAGATCATGTTGGCGAACCGCACAGACATGATGTTCTTGGCTAGTTCCTTTCCCAAGTAATGATCAATACGATATACTTCCTCCTCCTTGAACAATTGCTTGATATCCTCCAACAGGGCATTACAGCTCTCCAGATCTTTTCCAAATGGCTTTTCAATCACAATCGTCGTGGCCGCTTCTTTACCATAGACGTACTTTCTCAGACCAGAAGCCACCGGGACGAAGACAGAGGGAGGGAGTGCCATGTAAAAGATGCGGTTCTTTTGCTCCTTCTTTAACGATTGCTTGTCCTCCAACTCGGTAACAAAGGTGTTGAGTTTCTGCCAGTACTCTTCTTGATCGTACTGTCCCTCGACATAGTGGCAGATGCTGAGGAAATCCTTGATCTGTTGGTCATTCTCTGGATCGTCTGATTTGAGATGAGATGACACTCGTTTATAAAATTCCGCACAATCCATCTTGGATCGAGCATAGCCGACAATTTGCGTCTTGTATGGTAGAAACTTGTTTTGAAAAAGTGCGTACAATGCAGGAAATGTCTTTTTCTTTGCGAGATCGCCAGAAGCACCGAGAACAATGATGGTGACACCACCTTTCAAGCGGTTGTCAACGTCTTTTTTGAGTTTTGCAGAGGCTGATGATCCAGGCATTTTGTATAGGTGAAAGACGGAAGAGTGTGGAGAGAGAGATAAAGAGAGAGAGAGAGAGGAAGATCAAGCCATGACTTATAAATCAAATCAAATTAGCATTAGTTGTTTCGGTTCTAATCATGCTAAAACGAAACGCCAAATCCCATGTAAATCATTTTTTTTTCTCTTTTAATTTTGTGTGTGTGTGTGTGTGTGTGTGTGTGTGTGTGTGTGTGTGTATATGTATATAGCAAAACTACAATAATAATATAAATATGATCTAAACCTCCAAAAGACTCAACAACACAGCCTGTGTTTCTGCAACCTACAATTGAAACTAGTTAGTAACCAATGTTTAGAGCATTAAAACTACCATCTCTTACCTCTAATGCTTGTTTCACCTCCAAATGACGTCTGGCTGATTGAATCCAATCATGAGCTAATCTTTTAGGCCATCCAGTCAATTGATTCAATTCACGTGTGGCATATTCCAAGTTATCTCTCTTCAAGTAATAGTCTGTGCGAGATAAAATAGACTCCACATCATCGCCATCAACCAAGCCTTGCTTTTTAAACATGAGCCATGACATGACAAAACTAATAATATGTGAACCAAAGCCACCGTCCTCAGGAACGAGTGCGACTTGGCGAATTTCATCCGAAACACTTTCAAAACGAGTGGATAGTTCGCTCATGGTATGAACGCCTTGCTCGGCCACTTGTTGAGGAACCACGCTAAACACAGTCTGGATCAATGCATCTTGTTTGGCATTGTGGTTGAGCGCTTGCAATTCATCTGCAAAGGGTTGTTGACGAGGTTGCTCAAGAACGTCGGCCAAAGCATCGACAGTAACATGGATCACATGGTGTTGACGCGATGTATCGAGTTGTTGTGCGTTTTGAATGGCATAACTAGCTAAGGCTTGGAATCGCTTATCAATGGCATCCAATTTAGCTAAACGGCCGGCACGTTCTTGCTCGACCAGAAGCTTGACTTCCTTGACAAATCGACGCTGCAATTCTTGTCCTTGCGCTACAAGTGCATCAGCACGGGCCTTTTCTAAACGTTCTTGTTGAGCGTGCAAATCAGCAGCTAATTGTTGGGCAAAGCTGGTCTTCATTTCGGCACGAGTTTGTTCGAATTGGTTCTTGAGTTGTGCTTCGCGGGCCACAATAGTAGCAGCAGTGTCGACATGAGATTGGTGAATGGCTTGCTTGGCTTCTACATGGTATTTCTCCAAACTGCCTTCCAATTGATCGCCCTGAGCACGCAATGCCTTGAGCGATTTGAGAATAGCTGCTTCTTCTGCATCCAATGCTTCAAATCCATGGTTGAGTTGTTGAATCTTGGTCTCAGCTTCCTTGATGACGGTGCGTCCCAAGCCAGATAATCCAGCTTGGTTCAAGATGGATGCCAATTCAGTGACGATTTGAGACAGCTCACAGACGACGCTGTTGTTTGAGCGAACAGCCTTGACAACGATAGGTTCAGGCTTTTCAATAGCGACATTGACAATGGCAGGTGTAGCAGCCTTGTCGCTGGTGAGCTTCATGGTGGTGGCTGTGTCGGTGGTGGGAGGCACTGGGATCAACGAAGGCTTCTCATTGACATTGACGGCAACCTTAGCGCTGGCTGATGCAGCAGCGACAGTTTCAGCAGCACTGATCTTGCTGCTGGAGGAAGAAGGTAATTTGGGTGCTTCCTTTTGTCCAGTCAAGGTGTGGTAGGCGTCTGTAGCGTAGTCAATGGCATCTGTGGTTGTTTCCTGGATCTTGTTGCCATAAGATTTAGCTGTGTTGGCATATTCATCCAGTTGTTGTTTCCATCCTTCAGTGCTTCCCTTGGTGAAACTGTCGTTCTTTTGCACATCGCGAACAAACTTCAATGCTTGCTCGGCACCAGGTACGTACTCAATAAATTGATGACGAAATTTGGGGTCTTGCAAGGCGTAGTATGTTGCTCCACCATATGCTGAACCCAATACCAATGTTAAACCGACCACTTTGCCCAAAACTGATCCAGATTTCTTTTCAGCTGTGGCTACAGTCTCGCTGGCAGCTGTACTTTCCAGACGCTGCGTATATATGAGTGTTTAATGCCTGGAAGGATCATCTGATGCGAATGAAATGATAGCTCCTTACCTTGAGCACGGAGGAACCCATGAGGCGCTGATGATGTACTAATTTTGAACGCACAGCTCCATTGTTGCTGCACAATTTGGTAGCTCTCAACATGATTATTTACAAGTCTAGATGAAATCAATGAGAACAAGAATCGAGGCAATGTGTCAATGTGTCGTATTTACCGCTTAATGTAATGAACAAGGGAGAAAAAAAAAAAAAAAAAAAAAAGACAATTGTTTTATTATTTTGGTGTGTGGAGTTGATTGCCAGTTTCTTGTGGTCCTCATTTTGGAGTTGAATTTGAAGGAGGGGGGTCAATCCTTTGAACACCGTGTGCAGTGTGACGTATGCCCTGCCACTAGAAAGCAGACGATGGATGCAATCCACTCAATGTCACCTCCATATGGTCTTGTCAAGAACAGATCCAGATGAACTATGCCATCCAGTTTCTGCAAGGTCGTCATAACAATTTTGAACCAGTTTGATTGATGGAAGCAACATTTCCTTCATAATTCGACTCAAAACATATCAACATCCAGAGAAAGTGTCCACTCAGATGCCAGATTACTTGATCTATCAGGTGGGTTTTATATAAAAAGCACTTCCTTGAACCGTTTCAAATCGAAACAAATGCCATTTTAAAAGATGCCTAGGCTATGCTTGTGGTCGTTTGTTAGATACAAATGCCTTTATAGTAAATTTTAAGGGCTCTTCTTCGTTGGGATGGTCGTGGATTTTCCCCTGCTTTTAGAATACGCATTGTTGCACAACTGAATTGCTTCGTTTGATGTGATGAGACATTGCTACTACTCATCGTCATTAATGTATTGGACAGATGGCCTGTAACATGCCTTGAACTATTGGCATTTAGCAAAATCTAAAAGATGACCTAGCCTGTTGATCCTCATTTTTCAGCAAAGCAATTGAGTTTTATGCCGTCTACAAAGATCTGAAGTAGGTTCTTTTACTAAACATGCAAGATTTATCACCAAACGCTGCATTCAATGACATGTTGCAGTGGTCGGATACAGATTATATCGAATACTCCAGTTTCCTGCTCCTTTAAGATTAGGAACTGCCTACATCTCTAGGTGATTTTTAGACGATTGAGTCTACTGTACATGAAATAAACACGGCTTGTCTAGATTATATCTAGGCTGTTTCAAACGTACCATTATTTTTCTTGAGTTGACCAACACAGAGTCCAACAGATACCTTACGGCCTCTTAATGTGTAGATACCCAGGAGCATCCCATGCAATGCTCCGTGTTCCACAGACATTGGAGTCGGTAAATGCCGCTCCAAACAGCGTCATTCATGTGTACCTGCATTTTCTCCAGATGCAGCATTGATTCAATACACATCCAACTGTTTTACTATTAAATTTCTAGCATAAATCCCGCACACGTAGAATAAAAGACCTCAAAGAAAAAAAAGAAGGTTTACTGATTGATAAAGAAAAAAGATGATGCTATGTGAAAACAGAGGGATATATATATATATATATATATATATATATATATAGTATGTTGAGAGAGATGGTATTATTTGTACAAGGTTTTACTCTTCCGAGGTCCAACCCCAAGAGACAACGAAGCTTAACGAAAATAAAGCGACACAGCACTTGAAGATGAGGGTATAATCTTCCATGGTTTGGTCCGACTGCAAGACATAACCAGCAACCATGACACCAAGCGCAGGACCAACGCTACTATACAGTGCTGAGATTCTTGATCTTTGTTTCATTCTTTCGTATTGACTCCAATGGATTAAATTGACTTGATCTGCACCGCTGAGCCAAATGAGTTGAAATGCGATAGCTGTGTATCATAGTGAGTATTGTGTGGGGGGGGGATGCCTATCCTACAACACATGTATACCTTGTAAAGCCTGCAACACCAACAATGAAACATGTGTCGCAACACTATCCGGTTTCAAACATGGATACAAGATGGCACAGATAATTAGAGTGATATGCACAGATGTTGTGATTAAAGTTAAATTTAATCCATGAATAAACCACTACATAAACAGCAAGTCAGTCTACAATGGACAGCAACACACACACACACACACACACACACACACACACTTGCCTTTTCAATGATATAGGCAACAATCATCTCGCAGGTCATATGAATCATTATCAAACAAGAGATGATATAAATCGACATTTCCAGAAGCGAATAAACATAGACATATAGGAATGTGTTCATCAGCGCATTGGCAATGCCCAACAACAGCATCGTCACGGAGAGTGTCTGTGTCTTCCATTGATTGACTTTTTGGTTCTGTGGTGGGGGCTGTCCATAATAGTAGCCGCCTACAAGCTCATCGTCTGCGGTGTCTTGCTTTGATCGCATGCAAGAAAAGAAAGCTACCAAGGGATCCGTGGGTGTAGGCAGTGGTAGCAGGGCGAGTGCATTGGCGGGCACAGTGGGTACAAGTGTCATGGACAGATAGTTGGCATGGGTGTCTTCTGGGTCCACTTGAAGGGCACTTCCCGACATGTAGCTGTTTCTGCTGTAAAAGGAGGGTGCATTGCTGTCGTAGCTATCCATCAGTCTCAGTGATTCTTCTCTTGTAAACATGCGATCCAACTGACTAGCATCTTCTTCAGAAATGTGGGAGAGTTGTTCTCCAAATATGCTGTACGGGCGATAGGTGACAAGATTGTTTTGATCAGCTGTGAGAAAGAGTGCATTTTTCAACAAGAGTGGAGCCTGTTCATCGCTGATATTCAGTTGAGATGCATTGGCTGGTTCTACAGCTGTAAATACAAGCGCAGTGACAAGCAAGAGCACCATTCCAATCGTATAAACACCAATAAGGATGTTATATAAATATCTATCTTCTGTCATTGTACTGATAAGTAGACCGATGCTTCCGGTCATGACGATAGTAGTCGTCTTACTCCATCGCACATATGACCCTATATATTTAAACGATAAATGAAAGGGGGATTTGTGTGATTATGCACGTCACTGGTAACATATCTTGATAAAGCTCCCTATTTACCATAAAAGAGTACTCTGTAATCTCCCAATGTCTTGATGATGGCACTATCAATCAGTGTTCCCAATGGCTGATAGAACAGTCCGTTGCAGACAGTGCAAATGAGCAAGAGAGTCCACATCCAATGCACTTTTAAATCGGCGTACAGGGTCGAGATCAATGTTAAAAGTAGGATGAAGGCAATAGACGATACAGTGGTCAACAATGAGATGAGATATCCGTACATGTGAGGCCGCTGATCCACAGCAGCCGTCCATACACCAGACACTAATCTCAACACATAGACAAGCGCTACAAGGCAGGCAGCTTGCAATGCAGTCAATTGTAACTGATTTACAAGATACAAAGGAATAAATGCCTCCAATGTATTGGTTATTGCAAAAGCTGTTATCAACAGTTTCGGCCAATAAAGCATCTTTAGCCTAATTGAATCAAGGGAATAAAGAGTGAAAGAGAGAGAGAGAGAGAGAGAAGGAAAAAAAGCACACGCCACCCAAGTTTGTTTGCATTTTGAGAGAAAATTAGATCATTCAAAACGTCACTGATGTTGGATGTAACATGATCTGATGGCAGAGTGTTTCAATCAAAGCCTCAGCTCCAACTTGCACACACACACACACACACACACGTACACAACAGTCTACAGCACACAGCAAGCAGCCTCCTCTAATTCCTGTTTATCTTTGTTACATCAGGCAACTGGCAGAGGAATTCAGTTAATTTCCCGCCTGTATTATCTGATGGTGATCATGGCGTGGTTTCCCTCGATTAAAATTAGAACCGCTCTCTTTCTCTATTTCAAACAACAGCAAAATGGCAACCTATTTGAAATTGACCAACAAAACAAACCACTTTCTCAAGACGCTTCCCAAGTTTGATCCCTCTCAGTTAACCGTTGAAGCCATTCGCGCCAAACCTGATGTTGAGCTATCAAAGAGCATCCCTCGTCCCGAATTTGACCTTGAACAAATGACCGTGATCAGCACTCAAGGTATGGTCAATGTTCATATTTACCGTCCTTCAGGTAGTCATGATGCTGTGCTGCCTGCTGTTGTCTACATGTAAGTTCCCTCTAGAGTAGTGTAGTGCGTGTACTCAACGTTACTCACTCAACGGCGACATTGGCGCATATCTTGTCACACAGACATGGTGGAGGATGGACTACCGAGACAAAGGGATCCTATTCCTACGTGTGTGCCAAAGTAATGTATACTTGGAGTCGCATGAATGGCTCGAAACTAACTCGATATACCAGCTGGCTGGTCAGGCTGAATGTGCTGTCATTTTTGTCCACTATTCCTTGGCTCCTGAAGCTCGCTTCCCTACTGCCATTGAAGAATGTTACGCCGTTTTGAACTGGGCAGCCAATCCCAGCAATTCCGGCTTCCTCAAGATTGATCCCACTTGTGTGGCACTTGCTGGTGATTCCGCAGGCGCTAATTTGGCTATTGCTGTCTCTTGTAAGTTCTTCAATGTATAGATCAAGCCCAAGTAGTAATGCAAAACCATCTGTAGTGCTTGCCAAACAAAGAAAGCTGGAGAATACCATCAAATATCAAGTCTTGTTCTATCCCATTACTGATGTCACATTCAATACGAGCTCTTACTATGAATTTGGTACTGATTTCGCCCTGACCAAGAAGCACATGGAGTTCTTCTGGGATCAATATGCTCCTAACCAAGCGGATCGTGACAACATCTTGGCCTGTCCCATGAAGGCTAGTAAGGACGAGCTGTCGGGTTTGCCTCCTGCTCTCATTGTCTCTGCTGAAGCCGATGTGTTGCGTGATGATGCAGAAAACTTTGCTCGCAAATTGATGGATGCCAATGTTCCTGTTTCCACTACTCGAATTCTAGGTGTCTTGCATGGCTTTATCGGTAACCCTCGATTATTCTGTGACGAAACTCTGTTTGCCTTGGATTTAGCCATCGCTGGTCTCCGTAGAACATTTGCTGCCAACAAACAGTAAACTTTTATCACAGAAACGCATAGCCATCATACAAATAAACATGAAAAGTGCTCTCTCCTCCCTTGCATTCTACTTTCTGCAACTGATTTTTCACATTTGAAAAAAAGCTCGTTTGTGTGCGTGATTTATTGATGTGTTTTTTTTTTTGTTTTTGTTTTTGTTTTTGTTTTTGTTTTTTTTTTTTTTTTTTTTTTTTACTGTTGATTTCCACCTCGAGCACCAATGACAGTGCCAACGTTGCTATTACCGCGTCCACGGTGTTGTCCACGTCCACCTCTGTTTCCTCTGTTGTTGTAATTTCCTCCACCACGTCCACGCCCACGACCGGATTGGTGTCTTTGTCTACTCTCGTCCTCCTTGACCATGTCGACAATCTCCTCGGGTACGTTCAAGTATTTGATCGTGTTGCCTCTGATATAACATTCAGGTAACTTCCAAAATTTATCACCATCAGGAGATGTTTGAATAACTTCACGCAAGGTCAAATTCATCCAATTATCGCAATTAACTAAATGTCCATTGAAAGTTTCACCACTTTTTAATTCAACAAGCATAGGATGTCCTGCTGCTGTGTGTAAGAGAGTGAGTGGAAGCATGCTGTTGTGTGTGTAATTGAATCTAACTATAGGGTCGGTTTAGCCATCTATTTTGTGTGTCTCTCGCTATCACTTTCTCTCTGTCATCTTACCGGCTAGATTTCTTTTTCTGATTTTTTTTGGATGGTAAAACAGAAAGGGAGAAACGTAAGGAAGAGGAGGAAAAAAATCCAGCCAGATTGCGGCAAATTTCGGACGTCACACACACAAAACAAAGGATGAATGATCTGATATTGGCATGTTGTGGATTTAGTTGCTTGATTTCATGTATGAATTCAAAACGCTAGATCTCATGTATTTTATTAAAAAGAGTTATTATTGTAATGCTGCTGTTGATGGTGGTGGTGGTGGTAGTGGTGTTGCTGCTGCTGTTGTTGTTGTTGTTGTTGTTGTTGTTGCTGCTGTTGTCTTTGTTGTTGAGCGTCCATCATGTACGCATTGGGCCCCAACATTGGACTTCTTGGATGGTACATGGATTGGTTTGAGCCATCATCATCTAGAAATTGACCCGAACTTGGACATGGACTTGGCGGCAGAGGTGTATCAATAGCTTGTTGATAGGTGGGCGTTAATGAAGGATTTATTTGATGTTGCGGAGGAAATTGATGAATGGCTAATTGCTGTTGATGTTGTTGTTGTTGAAGATTTTGAGTCTGTACAGATAATTGTGGGTTATTATTATTGTTGTTACTAGAAGCATGGGCCGATCTTGGTGATGAGGCGGTGGATAATGGAGAATTAGGCGTAGAGGGAGGCTGATCATTGATATTCAAGTAAAAGTTGGGCTGTTGCTGTTGTTGACTATGATCGGCAGAGGTAATGAAAATAGGTGGCGGTGGTCTATCAGGATCTGCTTTCATACCAAACATGTCCATGCTGGAGACTGAGCAAAACAGTGTTACTAACCCGATGTATCCCTCGCAAGAAACTATCCAGACACACTTACATGAAGTACCATACTGTTTTGTCATAAAATCCATCATATCCTTCATCATTTGTTGTTGTACATTTTGTCGCTTTTTTGTCTCTGATAATTCGTTCATGACCTGATTCAAATTCTCCTGTAGATGTGATATTTGCTGCATCATATCTGATTGTGACATTTGCATCATGGCCATGTGAGAGCTGATATCATTTGTGTCTCTTCTTACTGATTCGGATTCCAGTGCCTTTCGCTTGATCTCGTCTAATAAATCAGGTCGATTCCTCAAGAACTTGGGATGCGAAAATTCCCAAATCTGATTCTCTGCTAACGTACGATGCCCTCTTGGCGATTTGTTGACTTTATGAAAACCATACCTTTACGAAAAAAAAAAAAAAAAATCAAAGAATAAGGGAGTGAGTGAGTGTGCAAGTGTGTATACAAACAGGCGGGAATGACTTACATGTTTAATTGTCGAACAAAGCTGCTAAAGTTGTTATGTTTGAAATGCTTTGGCAAGACATCCCTTGAAAATTCAGTGATATTGCAAACGATAAAAGAGGTGCCAGTGTATGTCCAAGCAATTAAATGCTGATATTGTTTATCTACAACCATGCTTATGTGAAACAATTAGCTTGAAGCGTATTTTTCCAATGCTAAACGGAAAGGTCATACTTGTATAATTTATGTACAAAAGTGTTTCCGTTTCCTGGCTTTGTAGCGACTGGAGGAGGGGCAGGTGAAGGTGGTTGAAGCGACATCTGTTGTGTGAATTGGTTTTGAAGTTGGTCCCAAGACGAGTTTTCGTGTGCAAAAGATGTGTTTGCTGCTGGCGAAACGAGTGGCGAATTTAATGGTGAACTACCTGACGATACAGAACTTCCACTGAATTGTGTGTTGATACCTAAAGATGCCACAGATGTTGTATGTCCATCATTCATCTCAAAAGTGGAGTAAAAGCAGAAAATGAAAAAAGATAAGAAAAAAGGATTTTTGTTACAAAAAGTGCAAACCAGAACAAGGTATAAAATTTGAATCGACCAATCATACAGGCAATGAAAGGCTAATCCAAGCTGTTGCGAATAAAAAACACCGAATCATGAAACTGGATAAGCATAGTAGCCCTGTATACACATGTAAGCTCTTGGCAACCTCTCATATTCTCATTGCACTGTTGTACATTCGGAAAATTCACTCTACATGCCAACAATGGAGTTGGATGCTAGCACAGAGTGATACACATGTTATGATTAAAATCCGAAACATCAAGTTTCGTATGTATGTGCTGCAGAAAAGGCAATGCACCTTGTTTGAGTAGAGACGAACGGTTACAAGTAGCTTATTTCTTCAAAATGACCGAGGCCAAAGGCTGTTTACACACTGCAGCGTCACGACCTGATTGAACTACAACTTTTCCTAGAAATCAATCACCCATCAAAACATTGTCATTCTGCAACGAGTATATATGATGGTTATTATCATTATTCTGTTGTAATACTACAAAATGGTTTATCACTGTGTGCGTGTAGCATCTAGAACATAAATCATTAGATGCAAATGACGCTGAATGAGATAAATGCCTCAGTCAGTGATCCAGAAAGTCTGATCTGCAACTGCAATAAATAGAACTTGGCAAAAGCACAAATGCCGCCTGCTTCATTAAATCATGAGCAACGATTTCGTAACCAAGGTGTTTGCTTAACCTACACTCAAAAGGAATACGGTAGACTAGTCCGCGATACGCTACTTAATATGTCGAGATATTGTTTGCCCAAAAGCAAGTAGATTGTCTGCAATAAATCCACGCTTGATTAATCGTGAAGCGTGCCTTCGAAACATTAATGAAGATCTCTTGTTTAATTCATGAATTTGGAATATTCTAAAGCATTTCATTTTTAAAATTAAACTCAAGGGTACGTGGCCCTTGGTTCTGGCTTCACCATCTATACTATTAGACACGAAAAGCGTTAGCTGATAGTTTTATACAGTGAATGATAAAGGTGATGTCTATTTTTTTTTTTTTTTTTTTTTTTTTTTTTTACAAATCATCCGTTACTACATGTAAATCTCTTGCAATGTGTTGCTCCGTGCGTACCATAAGCTGTTGTTCTGTCGTAATCTAGCCTTGTTGCTCTCTCTACGTTGGGCTTGCTGTCCTTCCTCATTATCCTCTATCCCAAACACCTTTGAGAGGTAAGAAATCATCCTATACAGTCGGAGTGTGCTACGTTCCTATTGCCTCGAGGCTTAAATACAGCAAACTACATTCGCAAATAGGTATATGTAGTATTCGAAACTCGATGAAAGTAGACAGTGAATTCTATCATACCTTAGTCTCAGCAATCTTAGTCTTTAAAAACCAGAGATTCATATCAACTATATCTCTGGAGTGCTAGCATCATCACCCAAGCTGAGGCTCTAGTAGGCCATCCCAGCTTTCCAGAAATCAAATATGCTTTGCTTAATATAGGTCTATGAATTTAAAGCCACTTGGTTATGCCTGGCTTCATTGTGATTTGGAAAAGGATTTCAGCTCTACTGCACAGCACTTTATTCAAAGGGGGAATAGTTTTTTCACATCCCATGTTAACGCTAGAAACTTCACACCAGAACAACTACTTGCGCAATTTGAGAGATTCATAAAGATATAAAGGAACTTTCAATCGCTACATTGGTTGTCATGTAGTTAGAGGACGAGGAAAACGTAGACGAATAAAAAAATACTATAAAAAATCGGTTTCCAACCCCCAAATTGGAGTCTACAGTGGCAAAAACTTGGCTTTAATAATAGTATAATAGAAACGCTTATGTGGCACTCAAGTCTATAAAATAGGTTTGGGGCGGGTATTGACTAATAATGGCGCGTAAGAAAAACTCTGTATGCGCCGATGTAGAAAAATTTAGCTTTGAGTGATTGATTTTGGACAACTTGGCTGGAGCTGACTTTTTCGACAGTGTACCTCTGTGAAACCATCTAAACCCAATTTCAGTAGAGTCTGTTGACTCTTGTATAATAGAATCCGTAGGTATCATGTATATTTGTTCGGTCGATAATGTATGAATTCGTCGTTTATGTTATGTCAAAATACAATGTAAAATTGAATCTGCCAAAAAATTACACTTTTATTGAGAATGCATCCCGAGGATGCATTTATATACTTTTTCATTATGCTAGGAGGGTTTACAGCATGATGATGAACTATAATACAAATAGGTTTACTATCTACCCAACAATTGATTTGTAAATCATGATTAGCATGATTTAACCAAAGGACCTAAGAATAGCCTAAAACCTTTAGTGTGAGATCTTGTTATAACATTTGATATAACAGCAGTTTGTTCTCCCTTCGTGCTGACAACGACTCAGAGTGTCCAGTATCAACCATTTCTCCTCAATTGCAGGTGTCCAACGTCTTTGTACGTCGATAAAATTTAAGTAGAGTTTCATGCCTTGATATGGTATTTCTCAGTTATGGACAACCATGAAACGTAGTATTCTAATGACCTGTTAAGCATTTCATCCATTGGGAGCAAGTTTTTCCTTTTAAATTTGCATAGTGTCATTGACGTTCAGCTTTTAGAGTTACTACTATAACCGCGCATTTCAAAAAAGAAGAATTTGATATTTAGAGTTAGAATAGAGGCGTCTACTACTTGGAAAGTAAACTTTATACAATGCAGAGCGGCTTGATCATCAGAGAGAACCGTAATTCACTTATTTATTAGGCAACATAGCCTACTGTACCCTACATTTAAGCCGATTTCAGTGCGAATCCAGCCATTTTCAAGTACGAATAACTCATGCTACAAAGCGTTTTGAGCGTTTGGAATAGCACCACACGCCTCCTCTTGGCCATGCTTTACTTCCTGATGCCTTATGTCAATTTTTTTTGTGTCGTTGCAAATTTATGAAAATCATCATTTTTCCATGAGCATTAGCAAGGGGAAATTCTTGAAAATCAAATGATCGCTGTTGTGTCAGAAGGGCTACAACTGTCTATAAAGATTAAGGTATTCTTGATGGGTAGATATGTCTGTGTTGTGCAACAACATGGACAAGCTATGATAAGTGAAGTGCATCTCAGCTATCTAAATACTGAGGTTCACCAGATGTGATAAGCGTTGTACAAGATAAATTGCTACTTTGGCATTCAGAACTTAGTATAAATAGAATAACTCTTGTCTTCATCAATAAATCTTTAGTTTTTGTGTCTGATCTTATTCAAATAAGTCTTTTCTTGTTTTTATAATATCGAACATTTTTTATAAGCTACAAATAATAATCCTTTTATTCTTTGTGCTTAACAATCGCGTTTTTCACCCCAAAAATGAAGATTTTTTCTATGATACATATTAGATCAAATTGATCGTAAAGATGAAACGCAACATTGAAAACTCTTTTTATGAGATTTTCATACGCTAAATTTTAACAAATTCACAGAAAATCTGTTTTCATATTTTTGGAAATTGCTCATTATTTTTGGTCTAAAAGCTAGATGTAATCAGCATCATTTGACGCGGCTTCTTTAGCCCTCTAGAGATGTATTAGAAGGTTCGGTGTGATAACGACAGTTTTCATAGTCAAATTTAACAAAAGCGTTTAAAGGATGTGAGATCAAGTCAAGTTTGAACACGAAAACACCGCTGCACAATTTCAAATTAAATTGCCGCGATGAAGGCTGCAACGGCACAAGACTGAGACTAAATCTACTGGTCGTGACGTCGGATAGGGTACCCTCTCATTTTTCCATGCCCTCGTTTTTTTTTTACCGTTTTTGCAAATCGCGTTTAGCATCAAATCATGGTGGTTTTGGAAACCGTTTGATTGGTAATAACACTCTAGCTTCTGATAACACTGTCTTGTACTGTTAGAAAGACTTGATACTGCTTCTTTGAAGTGAAATATATTAAGTATTATTCGATAATGAGTACTGGAAGGCGTAGAATTAACACTAACTGTATTTGTTTATTAGGTTTTGATAACTCTTTTGCCTACTTGGCTTGGGTGCTGCTGCCATTTATTACTCTGCTATCTCTACTGCCTGCTTCTTTGGTTTATCATGTCTAGTGGCTGCTTCTTTAGTCTTTGCCTGCTGGTCTCTGGTGTCGCTCGTTCTTCGGTTTTCTATAGTGTTGATGTTGCTGCTGCAGGTGTTGCTGCTGCTAATTTAGTCTTTCCTGGTCTACTGTCTTTGGTGCTTGCTCGTTCTCTGGTGTCACTCGTTTTTTGGTCTCTCTATTATGGTGCTGGTATTACTGCTGATGTTGTTGCTGCTGCTAGTCTGGTCGCTCCTGGTCTACTGTCTTTGGTGCATGCTCGTTCTCTGGTTCATATCTGGTGATTGCGTAATGTCTGGTCTATCTGTGGTGGCGATAAGTGGTAGGTATCTTCTTTCTTCTGGTCGCAATGATATAAAACTTCTTTGAACGCTTATATTATTGCTTCCTTTCTCGTGATAATGCATTCATAATGTTTGCCTTGTTGCGCTTTCTTCTTCTTGTTCTTTTGTTGGTAGTGTTTCCTCTGTAACTTTATATGAAACAACATTAGTCATTATGTTGTATTGCAAGCCTATAATACCACTGTTGCTTTTGCAGTTGTGCGTATTTGTGCCATGTTGCTTTACATCCGACTATTACTACCATGCACGTTGCTCATGTATGCATTTTTATTGCAACAACAGTGAGCTTTTTTGAACATCTTTGATGTTGTGTTTGTTATGTTTTTTTTTTGACTCACTTTGTGTGAGTATCCCTTTTTTTTTGTCTACATACTACTATACTCCTATAGTAATATGTTCTTTTCTTCTTTTGTTTATTATTATTATGTTTCTTTTGAAGCATACCTCTTTACATTGTGTGGATGTGCCTATCCCTGAAGCTCAACAAGACTCTATCCGAGGCTAGGAGGTAGATAGGCTGCCTCCACTTGGTTATCGCT